GCCAGGAAAGTCTCAATACTTTTATATTTTTAGTATTTCTTTTCTTCAAAATTGTTATCCCATCTCTTGTAAAAGAAAAAAGAATTCTGAGGCGGTATCCACAGGCTTCACAAGATTGCCCGAGGAGTCCATGGCCCAGAAAGGTGGTAAAGCTATTAGTGGTGATGGAGAAAATGAAGGGAGGGCTTGAGCCATGATTCTGAGGCTCATAAAACAGCAGAATCTAGAAACCCTAAATCAGAGCAGAAGACTGCTTTGTGCTTAGGTACCATTAAAAAGAGAGCATACGGAGTAGTAATCTCCAAAATGTCAAAAGGGTACAAGGGAGGGTGCTGAAAGTGGCATTATATGGGACTAAATCCCCCGGAAAAAGAACCGGTCCTCTTTCAATTCCTTTGTTTTTTTGTGTTTTTTTTTTTTTAGCTGTGCCTTGTGGCATGCAAGATCTTAGTTCCCCTATCAGGAATTGAACCCATGCCCTCTGCAGTCGAAATGAAAATTCTTAGCCATTGGATCAGCAGGGAAGTCCCTCCTGCCCTGTCCCACTTCAGTTCTTTTTGGGACCTTCAGACTAAGTCCAGCCTCAAATGAGCACCCACCTACCTGTCTCGATCACCCTTCTAACAATTAGCGCCCTGCTCAGAGCCTTGTCATATTGCTTTCTTTCCACCAGTTTCCACTTTCATTCTACTTCTGGTAAGTGAGACACGAATTTGATTTACGGTACCCAGATAAAGGTTTCAATTTCAACAAGTTAGGTGTTTTGAAAAAGTCAGCAGATGGAGATTTCCCTGGCGGTCAGGTGGTTTCAGACTAAGGTTTCACAGCAGAGGGCTTGGGATCAATCCCTGGTCAGGGGACTGAGATTTTGCCGGCCACACAGCATGGCCGAAAAAAAAACAAAGTGAGAAGATGCCTGAAATATACGTTAAGGTAATCATTGTGAAAGTTAGACCAAGATATATAAACATGAAGATGCTCTCACATCTCTCTCCTCCACCCAGTTTTGTCAGTGAGGGAACCAAGGCTGGGTGCTTGCTCAGTGCCTGCTACTTCTCAGGCAAAGTGCTGAACTTCCCCACCCCTCCACCCCCCACCCCAGTGGCCTGCCATCTGCCCGCCTCTCAGCCTCCTAGACCTCTTCAGGGCCAGGGCTAACCGGAGAAAGTCAGGGACTGGGCTTCAAGTTCCCAGCATGGGTGTCAAACATGTCTTCTGAGTGCCCTGGCTCCAGGGTCCCCCATCCTGAAGGGCCCGGCTGAGTGGGCCTTTCATCGGCCTCTGAGAGGTGGCAACAAGTGTCACCGCAGAATGCCTGCTGCCCACTGCCCCCACTTCTGCCGACCAGGTCGAGCAGCGCTGGGAGGATTGCAAGCAGGATTCCAGAGGCGTCTGGATATTATCAGTCAGTCGCTCAAACTGTCTGGCCGGTGGGCTGGGGTGGGGCTGGTGGCAGGGGGCAGGAACTGGCTGGAGGGTAGAGTTAGGAATCCCCACCCCACCCCCCGGCACAGATTCCTGGGGCCAGACCCAGCTCCTTGCGGGGAGGCAGGGGGATGGCCGCGATGCACCGGCTGCAGGCTCTGCACCCTGCCCCGGCCTCATTAGCCGGTAGCACCAAGGGATCAGAAAGTCAAATGATGATATGTGTCTGACAGAGGAAACAGAGAAGGTGGGGGGGAGTGTCGGGGGGCTGGTGGGCAGGGGGGAGGGGGCAGCACTTGAGGGTAGCAAGAAAAGAGGGGCTGGGAGGGGCTGGGAGGGGCTGGGCAGAGCTTTACCCTCTGGTCCACTTGAAGACTCCTGCTTCAAAACTAACCCTGATGGCTTCCAGACAAGTCGGCACCAAGGGTCATTTCTGGAGGCTGTAAGTGTTGTCGATGGCAGCTGTAAGGACAGGTGTAAATCTGTCCAGGCATTCCTCGCCACTCCCCCCTCCCAGCTTTCTGCACCTGAAGCAGGTCCCCTTTATAACTACAAGCCCACTCAGGAGGCCTAACACACACATACATACTCTCTCTCTCTCACACACACACACACACACACACACAAGCAGTTAACACTTGGCCTGCCCTCGGGGTACAATTTTTTTTTTTAAGTGCTCCTTTAAAGCAAACCCTAGAAGCTGTTTGTTAAAGCAAAGCAAACAAGCCTTGCAAGGAGAGGAGGTGGAAACAGTGGGAGGAAGAGGAATAAAAAGGAAATCTTTTTATTTGCTACCTTTGAAAATGCCTCTCTCAGCACACTGGGAGACCAGTGAGGAAGACGCATGGGGTGAGAGGGAAGATGAGCCCTACTTTATTTGGTCAACTAGTTGGAGTGATGAGACGGGGAAGTGGGGAGACTTTGCCTTAAACCAGGTTTTCTCCAGTATCTAACCTTTCTCCTTGTCTCTCACTGCTCCCCCTCCCCCGCCCACCTGGTTGAAGGAAAGTCTGCTTTCCCAGGTGTCACTGGGGACATTCTCCATCAGCACTCCAACCATCCCTCTCCAGAGGGAGCAGCTAAGCAACTGCGTGCACAGCCCCTCTCCATCTCGCCCAGTGCACTCTGGGAATCTGGAGAACTCCGGCAGAATTTTTCCTCTTCTTGGCCAACCTTGGACCCTACCGGCCCAACCATCCTTGTGGGCTTGGGTGGCTGTGCACTGCACTGGGGGAGGAGAGAGGCTTCCAGGCAAATCCGATGGCCAAGAGAGAAATGCGGCATCTTTTCCTGCAAGGACTGGGAGGCTCTTAGCCACACACTCCCCCACCCCCACCCCAAAGGCCTTGTAAGGGGGCCCCTGGAAACCCCTAGTGAATGATAATTTATCTCCTAAATTGCTGGTATCTGATGCTTCAAGGGGTTTTGAAAACCATATTCCCCTAGGGCTGGAGGCTACTTCGGGAATTGTTCGGTTGGAGGAGTTCAATCATGATTTAATGGAGGCATTTATACTCTACTAGATAATCTCCTGGCAAGTTAAGTAATATGTCGGGAGGGCGGGCCCGGGGGGTGTGGCTGAGCTTCCCTGGGCTGTAATTTCCCTACCAGCTCGCTTCTGTCTCCTTTGGGACATTCCTTTCCAAGCTCCTTCCTTCTCTTCTCCCCTCTCTGCGCCTCTTCGTTGCTTCTCTGTCTCCTGAGTACTCTCTCTCTCTCTCTGCCTCTCCCAGTCTCTCCAGGTGTGAAGGGTTTCTGTTCACCTCCGGGTGGGTGTCTGTTTCCCTCTGTTTTCTCCTTCCTCCCTTTTCCCCAAGCGTCCCTTCTCTCTCTTGCTCTCACTCGCTTCTCCCCACACTTGCAGTCACCCTCCTTTTCCATCTTTCCATCTCTCCTTTCTCATCTCTCTCTTCCCCACCACGCCATTCACTCTCAGGCTGAAAAGAAGCAGTCTCAGTATGTCCTAGAGGACCAAGGAAGGGGACTGTGGGCTCCTGCTGCTGACCGGCAATTGAGCAGCTGCAGTCTGGGCCTGAGAGTAGCCAGCCACACACAGCTGTGCTGAGAGCCAGGAGGCATCCAGGAACCCTCCCAGGGGCCCAACATCCCTTCCATCCCAGGTCACACATAGGCCCATCCTCATTTACAGAGCTCTCTGCCCTGGGGGCTCTGCCCAAGGATGCTCCAGGCACCCAACCATATTCTTTATTTTCCACAAGTGCTTTTCCCTCAATAGATCCCAAGAGATAGACAGAGACACTTTTTTCTCCTGTCAGGAGATGGAGATGGCTGGGGCTGAAAAGGCATTGGAACCTGGTCTCCAAGCCCCTCTGGGGCCTGAACTCCCATGCAAGGGCAAGAAGGGAGCAAACTTTCTGGAGTCACTTGCAGTTCTGAGATCCTGGGATTCTGGAAAGTAGCCTGCAACGGCATGAAGCCTGGGGTGGGAGGCTTGATCACTACAGGATCAACTCGGGAGAGGACAAGGAATGGGACTTCGGGCTGAGATGTAAACGGAACTAGATAAGAGGGACTGCCCTGACGGTCCAGTGGTTAAGACTCCACACTCCCAAAGCAGGGAGCGCGGATTGGACCCCTGATGGAGGGACTAAGGTTGTGCACGCCATGTCATGTAGCCAAAAGAAAATTTTTTTAAAGAACTGGGTAAAAGCAATGCTAATAGAGAAAGAGCCTAATATATGCTAGGTAGTGGTCTAAGAAAAAAAAGAATATGTCTTGAAGATACTCTAAATATACATAGTATATATTTTAAGTGTATATGTGATATACTGGGCTTCCCTGGTGGCTCAGTAGTAAAAAATCTGCCTGCAATGCAGGAGACAGGGGTTCGATCCCTGGGCTGGGAAGATTCTGAGGAGGAGGACATGGCAATCCACTCCAGTACCCTTGCTGGAAAAATCCCAAGTACAGAGGAGCCTGACAGGCTACACTCCATGGAGTGGCAAAGAGTCGGACAGGACTGAAGTGACTGACCACACATCTAGGTGATATACTAAGTATGCACTGAGTCTATACATTTAGTAAATGCATATATACTAAGTAGATACTAAGTGTATCTATTTTACCAAAATAGTTGTATGATATATAGAGACAGAGATTAGGGTGCCCAACAGCTAATGCTTAATGAGCACTTACTGTGTGCCAGGGGTTAGACTGAGTGATGTACACAAGAGGTCTCATTTACTCCTTGCCTTGGTCCTCCACGGCAGGACCTATCGTCCCCATTTTTCAGAGGAGGCAACTGAGGCTCAGAAGAGTTAGGGGACTCTTCCAAAGTTCCAAGGCTCTAACAGCCTCCCTTTTAAAGCTCGGTAGGAGGTGTGTGCCAACACTTTGATGGAACGAAGCTTGTCTGAGGCCGCCTGTGTACCCAAGGCCACCAGCAATGACTGTGGAGCTGGCAACTGCAGGGAACCAGCCCTGCCCGCACCTGCTGGCTCGCCTTCGCCTTGAGGTAGCCAGCATCCCTATGCCGCCAACCGGGCTCCACCAGACTGCTGGTCGCACTTGAAGGAGATTAGGGTCGTGGAGGTAAGTAATAGTCCGCGGAGAGGATGAATAGGGAAGGCGCGGCGGCCGTGATTCCAGGCTTAACTCCACACACAGCAACTGCGGCGCCCGCCACCACCCAATCCGCTGGCCATGCCTCCCGTCCCAGCCGCTTCGTCTCGCGCTTGACTGATCCGAAAGGGGCGGGGAAACTGAGGCCCAAAGCCGTGTGCGCCAAACGCGCGCGCCAAGCTCGCCAAGCCCCTGCGTGCGCGCCTGGCAGGAACGTGGCGAGCGGAAACCGCAGTCCCCGGCTTGCCTCGAGAGGCAGGAAGCAAAGCCTAGCGCGGCGCAGGTACCTCGGGGCCTTGAGCGAAGCCAAAGCCGGTCAAGCAAGCAAAGTAAGAAAGAAAAAACGCGGTTTCGGGCTCCTGTGTGGAACTGAGGCGTTCATCGAATCATCCGCTGGGGTCTCTCCTAGGACAGGGTGGCTGCGGTTGGGGGAGGGGTTGGGGATGGGGGGCGAGCGGCAGAGACGCGAGGGCATGGAATCGAATCGAGTCTGCGAATCTGCGTCTGTGGCTCCGATCCTGGCGGTTGGCGGCAGATGGGTGTCGACCCCGCTCCAAGCCGTGAGATGTGAGCAGCTACCTGGATAACTGGAAGAAAGTGGGAGAGATTCTGACCTCAGCCCCGTGCAGTCGAAGGCAGGTCGAAGGGGACAGAGAAAGACTGGTGGGTGGGAGACCAAAGTAGAGACGGACCTCGAAAGACAAAGACAGACGGGAAAGAAATGCAGAGTTGGAGGGAAATTCGGGCCTTAGCTCCAAGCTGGAGGAGGCAAGGTGATTCTGGCGAGCCTCCTCCTGTACATAAACGTTCGGAGCCCGGGCCAGGCCAGCAGGACCTCTGAGGATCCCCTGAGCTCTTGGCGGGCTCAGAGGGCAGCGCCGAATCAAGGTACGAACGCCTGGTTGAGGGTGAAAGTCTCAGCCTTGCCTCCCCTTTGCTGTGTGACTCCAGGAGGATCAGTCCACATCTGTGAGCCCCCAGTTCCGTCCCTTTGGTTCAGGAGAAGCCGCTGGTACGTGGCGCAAAAAGGCCTGGAAATAACTGAGTTTAACGCTTTGTGTCTCCCCTGTCTCCTCTCCAGCAGAGGGGCTTTGACGGAAAACACCCGGGATCCTGGCTGCCTGGGTTACCCAGAGTGATTGGAGGAGGCGTGGCGGAACGAAATAAGGAAAGCATACCGCTGGCGCTCAACAGTTGCTTCTGTGTGGCAGGTGTGCCTCAATCCTAAATCCTCATCGCCTGAGGACACGGGTCATGGGTTATGGAACCCTTTCAAAGCCCTGCATTATCTCAGAGGGTTCTCCTAACCATAGCCGGGGAACCTGCATCCTAGGCGACCCAAGGATGAAGAGTTGTGTACCTAGGAACACACAGCAGGCCTCAGGGCTCCAAAGCCAGGGCTCATTTCCACCCTGTGTCCCCTAAGTCCGGACTTCTCCACATCCCCGGAGCCGTTCCCAGACCACCCAGACCCAGATGTGCTAGGCGGAGGCAGGGGCTTTAGAGGAAGATGCCCCAAACGGAGAGCTTGGAGCCAGACGCAGCTGGGAGACGGGATGGGAAACCGCGAGCAAAGTTCCGGGAGAAGGGGCTACGGCAAAGACGAAAAGGGAAAGGAGAGACGGACGGAGGGAGTCAGAAAAAAGGAAACAGACGATGAAAGCGAGAGCCCGAGGGGGCGCGGGGTGCAGGGCGCCGGGCGCGGGGCAGCCAGAGGCGCCCAAGCCTTGTTCCCCGCCGCGCCCCACCCGACCCAAAGGGGAGCGCCCCACCGACCAATTTGGCTTGCACAAAACCCGCGCCCCAGGGGCCTTTGCCAGGCCGCTGGGGCTTGATTCATTTCTTGACTAATTAACTGGAAGCTACGTTGCCCCTTCTTTCAGGGCCCAATTAATTCGCCGCGGGCGGTGGGGCGGGGGCCTTGCGGCCGAGGCGCCCGCCTGGAGTCCCTTTGTGAAGGGCTGTCTGGCCCATATTGATTCTACGTACACACACGTCCCCCTCCTTCCTTCGTACAAAAAAAAAGAAATTGTCTTGAAAGCTCTGGATTTCCGAGTTTAAGAAGATTTGTCAGACTCGAACATTCCCCCCCCCCACCCTCATTGCATTTGTTTCCAGAAGGAAGAGACTACGGATCAAAGCAGTTTACAGATGTGCTTGGGAAAGGGTTCCATGGAACGTGTGCTCCCTAAAGGGCAAAGAAAAAGATCGCCTTTGTGTACCTACTGTGTGTGCGTGTGCGTGCACACGGCACCTCTGACCTTGTCGTTAAAAGCCAGAGAAGGAGTTAGACCCTCCCCAGGTTGAATCTCAGCTCCAGGAGGGGCTCGCCGGCTGTCCCAGCTCAGTCAAGTCTACATCTCTCTGCATGCCTCAGTTTCCTCATCTGGGAAATAGAGACCCGTGAAAGACGCCAGCCTCCTCAGATTGTTGTATTCCCTGAGCCGATGTATGGGAAAGGTCTTAGAACAGTATCATCCTCCAAGGGGATTTCACAGACTTCTCTCCAATAAACAGTATTTCGTAACAAACCCATTTCGCAGATGAGGAACCGAGGGCTAAGGACAGCCGACCCGCTGGGAAAAGTTGGTGGGTGTCTGATTCCAAGGCCAGGAAGCTCCGGAACGAAATTTACCAGACTTTCCTGAGCTCCTGGCCAGCTGCCTGGGAGTGGAGACACTCTCCCGACCCGCTGTTCCCAGAGGCTCCCTCGGGTGAGACTGGAGGCTTCTTCCTGCCCACCTACCCCCATCCTCCTTCAGTGCGGTAACTTCAGTGTGGGAGTGAGAAACCGAAATCCCGAAAGCTTTTGGGTGGAACCCAGCACGCAGCCACTCGAGCGGTTTCCGAGAGGTCGTCCATGGAGGACTGCATCGATTGTATTGACCTCACAGTGGGTCAGCTTGTCTCCTCCATCCATCACCCCAACGAAGTCTAGGACGAAAAAATAGACCGAAGGAAATCACAACCGTCTTTGTAAAGCTGGTGGGAAGTAACCTTGCCGCTGCGAGGGCGCGCCCGTGACTCAAGGCTGTCCCACCGCCAGGCAGCCAGTCGGGGGAATGAGCTTCTCAACCCACTCCCCTTTATTCGATCACTGATCCATTTTTTTTGGTTTGTGCGATTTTTAAAACAAAAGAACCAAGTAAGAATTAAGTTTATTCAACCAACCAACACTTGATGAAGCCACCGCAGGTGCCCCAACTGCACAGGGCATTGGGGTACTAGTGAGAAGAGGGGTTTGGACAGACTCCGAAAAACCCTGGCGGGGAGGGGTCGTCGTAAAGTCGTCTTTGCTGTCATTCTTTAGCCAGGCGACCTTGGATGGGACTCCCTAGCTTTCTGTCCCACAAATTCTGGTCTGTAAAAAGCAGCAGAGCTGCTCCATCCTAGGCTAGGTGAACGCGCTAAACAGGAAACAACGGATGGGAGAGTTCGGAGGTCAGATACCTCATCATAGCCCCAAGGTTGGAGGTGGGACAAGCAGAGCTGGGGTGGTCTTTGCAACCTCATCAGGGTGTAAACTTCTGTCGTTCCCCCCAAGCCGGCCCGAGGTGACTTCATCAGCAGGGCTCCCACACTCCCCAGGAGCAAAAATCACCCAGCCTTCTGCCGCCCTAGAGCACAGAAGAGCTGAGGCCCGATAGTTCAGCCTTCCTGCTTCAAGACCTTGAGTCCTCTCCCGACACCATCTCTCCTTGGCCTCAACTTTCCTGATCTTTAAAATGGGAATGATCTCTCTCTCTCTCTCTTAAACCACAGTGACCAAAACTCAGGACCATAAGCATCAAGCTGGGAAGACCCATGTTCTCACCCATGTCTCCAGTACATGGCAGAGAAGTCTCTCTTGGTCAGGATTTTGTGGAATGACCAAGTGGATGGTTCTGTCGATTACACCAAATTTCTCTTCCCACTGCCATCTTTTCACTGTCTCATGTCAGGATCTGTTTGGGAGAACAGCTTACAAATTCGATGCTTTTTTTTAAAGTGCTCTTTGAAGTGTTCACTTATTTTTCATACGCACAGAAAATCACCTCTATTTCGACTTCTTTCCTTTTCTTCATTCATTTTCATTCCTGTATTGAAAGATGATTTATTGAGCACCTCCCAAACAGAGCTAGAGATGTGAGGAGTCTTACCCCTCCAGGAGCTTTCAAGGTGGAGAACTGATATTAGACACTCTTACCCAGAGTGATTGGGCTTCCCTGGTGGCTCAGAGGGTGAAGAATCTGCCTGCAATGCAGGAGACCCAGGTTCAATCCCTGGGTCGGGAAGATCCCCTGGAGAAGGGAATGGCAACCCATTCCAGTATTCTTGCCTGGAGAACACCATGGACTGAGGAGCCTGGTAGGCTACAGTTTGCAAAGGGGGTCAAAAAGAGTCAGACACGACTGAGGGATACACACCCAGACTGATTAACTTCTTTGGTTAAGGTTAATTTTTTTTTCTAGCTCTGTAAGTAACTTTTGACAAGATCACAGCATCTAACGCAGTGCCTGGTGCATAGTAAGTGCTCAGTAAGTTCGACATGAATTTATTCTTCTCCAAATTGTAGCCCGCAGTTCCTCCCTTGGCTGCGGAACAGCCAGCCTGAGGTCGTAAATGCCTTTAGACAGACACTCCCAAATGAGGACTCAGGTCAGTCTGGCAATGTGCAGTGCCCCGTCCCCAGGCAGCCTGAGATCGGAGTGCACCCCAGCCCTGAGATTCTCAATCCCAGATACAAGTCCAGTCAGGAAGGCCAGCCACTCCAATTAGACGGAGCATACCTGGGCCGGTGGAGGGGGTTGCGGTGGGGGGAGGGGGGCCATTAGATTGACCTTTGCAAAAAGTGACACTGGACAATGAGGTTCTGCAAAGCCTGTACCCTTTGCAAATCTCCATACCTATCTAGCTGACCTCCTGTCCAGACCATTCCCCCGTCTACACGCCCCCCCCACACACACACCTTTCTAGGTAAACGGGTGACACCTAAGAAATGAGGCACTAGTTTGCCCTGAGAACCATCTTTTCCCACCTCCCCATTCTTGCCCACACTCTCTTTGTCCAGCTTCCAGACCTGGTGGGTCTCTGGGTGACCCTCTCCTGCCCCCAACTCCAGAAACAGTTCCCACCTCCTGGTGCATCAGGACTGCCACTGCGCTGGCCCAAAACCACAGTCCCAACCCCGCTCATTGCAGAGATTTGCTCAGACCTTTCGGGGGCACAGGAGGACGAGTGCCTGCCAGCCTCGTCTCCTCCCAGCGCCATCCAGCGGCAAGACAGCAAGGGCACCCTGGGCAGAGGGTCCTGGCGAGTCCCTCCAGCCGCAAGGATCGAGGAGGTTTCCAAGCTGGAGTCGGTCCCTTCCATCCACCCCCTCTCACTCCAAATTAGGACACGTCTATCTTCTACCCTCCTCACACACTCCCCGGTTGCTTAAGGCTGATTCGGGTTCACCCAGCGTTCAGTAATTACCCCCCCCCACTGCCCCTCTTTATTTATTTATGCCCAACATATGCACTGGACAGGGAAGTTCTTTCAAGGAGGGGGGAGGGAAAGGAAAGGAAAGAGGAGGCAAAAAATAGTGTTTGCTCCACCACTGCTTAGAAACTTTTCCTGTGCCGGCTCAGGGGTTTCACCCCAGGCTGGGTTGACGCTTTCTCTCTTTTTGTTGCGGACATGTTAAGTCCTGCCTTCCTAATTCTACACCTATGACCTTATACTGGCTGGAGTCAGGCGCCTTGATTCCCTGCCTTTGCATGCAACCGGGGCTGGAAAGCCTCCTACTTCCAGATTCTCGTGGGTGTCAGTCCCCAGGGAATAGGTCTTCAGAGTGGCAGCTCAGCTACAAATGGAGTCCTACTTGCAAAGGGAGAAAAACATCACTCTTCATACAGCTGGAATGTTATCGCTAATTTTTTGGAAAAGTGCCTGTGTACACACACATTACATATATTACTGAGCGGGTTAGTGCAAGACTGAGAGCACTGAAAAACAGTTGGGGTGGGGGCGCGTTCTCCAATTTCCTGGTAATTTGTAACAGACTATAGCTCCAAGAGAAAAGGAGTAACTTCGTAGCAGCAAAACAAATTTAATTCTGTCTATATTGATCAAATGGGAGTCTGCCCCTGAGGTGTGACTGCAAAGCATCTTTAAATCCGAGATTTCATTTCCCACCTGGGGCTACTTGGAAGTCCACATATACACACTTGTACCCACATAGAACATCCTAGAAGCACACACAAATATCCTATTCTGTTTAAATAATGCAATGGAGTATAGCCTTGAAGTTGGGCCCATTCATCGTTTAACTAGCTCTCCAATTGCTGCTGTTGTTTAGTCGCTAAGTCATGTCCGACTCTTTTCGACGCCATGGACTGTACACCACCACAGTCTCCTCTGTTCATGGGATTTCCCAGGCAAGAGTACTGGAGTGGGTGGCCATTTCCTTCTCCAAATATTAGGAAGATCTAAACTGAAGCTCTAGAAGGCATCTGACTCTGCTGTCTGAAAGACCACCTCTTCCCCAAATGCAGCTTGGGGCAATATTCTGATATGCGAACTAAAGTCAATTTCCTTGTTTTCTTCTTATCCTCTCTCACTCAAATTTCTACACCTAAAAAATAAATAAATAAATCTGTAAAATAATCCAACCCCAATATCTGTTATATAAAAATCTGTTCCATTCCTTAAAAAAAAAAAAAAAAGAATTCATAACCCACTCTCAAAAGGCCTTTCATTGACTCCAACGGTTCTCAATTCTAGACAGAGAAATGAAATAGAGGAGCCTGTCCTGGTTATCCACGACATCAATACACGGACATAAAAGTGAGTGCAACATCATATTTTAACTTGTCTAATAGAAAAAGCCTAACTCTGCTGCACTCTCTCCCCCTCTCCCCCAAAAGAACTAGAGCCCAGCTGTGGGTGGGTAGGGTGCAAGGGGGGTGGGTTTTGAAATGAAGTCGCTTGGAATGCCAAAAAAAAAAAAAGCAAGGCATTATTTACACCTGCAAACTTTGGATGGTTGTATTCGGCCCCAATTGGCTTAATTGTAAATCTTTTCCGCATGGCCCCAACTTCTGGACGGAGCGTCTGGGTTTAATAATACGCCGGGGTACCCCAGCAGGACCAGACTGAAAAGACAGAATTCCCCCGCCCCACCCCCGCTCGGCTCAGAGGTAATTAGAACAGCCCCCCTTCCCTTCCCTTCCCTCCCCAAATTCTGCTTGAGGTACCAGAAGACCAGACTGAGACATGCGGGGAACTCATATTTTACCCTCTGAAGACAAGAGAAGCTATTTCAAAAGCAGATATACCCTCCGAGTCAAAAGCGGAAGATGGTGCCCCACCCCCCGCCCGGACTCCCACCCGCATCTCCTGCGCGTTTGACTTGCAGAGGGGGCGAGGGGGAAAGAGAGGCGTCCACACTGGCAGCCACAGATCCCTGGCAGCATAGGGCTGACCTGTTTGTAGAACTTGCTGCCGAGAGAACAAGTAAAAACACACCCCAGCGGCGGGAGAGTAGATGGCTCCCTCCGCTGCACCCTCCCTTCGCGCGCAGAAAATCTCGCCAGCCTCAGCCTGGTTCCCTCCGAGCCCGGTTTTTCTCCCAGGAGGCTCTCTCCCTTGCAATGGTTTTTCCACCCCTTTGAGAGACAGAGAATGCTACGCGACTCTTTCCTTTTTAGTGCCCCCTCCCAAGGTCATTACTATCCCCCCACCCTACCCCATTAATCCTTTCCCACCGGAGCGGGGCGGGAGTTAGGAACCCAGGCTGCAAAAAGACACTTCGGATGTCGGGGCGGGGCGGGGGGGGCGGTGCGCGGTGAGGGGCTCCTAACTGAATCCCCGCGATCTTAGTTTGGGGGGGAATCTGTGAGTTCCGCGGGCAAGGTCGGCCGCCCTCCCACCCGGGAAGCCGACTCGCCCCGCCCCGGCTGCCGCAGAGGAAAGGCAGGTAACCCGTGCGGGGAGCCAGTGCCTGGCAGGACCCTGTCGCCACCGAGACCCGGGGCGGACCAGCCTCGTCCGGGACCCCTGTGCTTCCCCGCCGGCCGCTGCGGGCGTTGGGGACCCCGGATCGCAGCCCCTGGCCCCCTCCACCCGTAATCCGAGGCCGCGAGCGTCTTCTCAGGTACCGCGCTAGGCGAGGCCTGGAGCCGCAGCGAAGCACGTCCAGCTTCCGTATTTGGAACCCGGGTAAGGGGAAGGGGGGTGAAAACCCCCCGCCTGGAGGGAAGGGGAGGGGAAACCATTGCCCAAAAGCACTTTACAGGGGGAGCCCTGGGCTGTCACTCTCTCCCGCTCCGTCCTGGGGCCCGAAGTTTTCCTTTCCCAAGCGCAAGGAGGACCGGGCGTCGGAGGAAAGGTAGGGGACAGATTGGTTTCTAGATCGGGAAGGCCGCTCCTGTCTGCCCTTCCAAGCGCCCCGCCAGAAGGATTTTTAGTATTTGGCTTGGAGATGAAACGTACTGAGGCCTGGGCGCCAGCAAAAGCAACTCTTAGGAAAAGCTCTCTCATAATTCCAAACATTCCCTCTTTCTATGTCTGTGTGTGTCCCTGCCTCCCTCGCTCTCTTCTTCCCCTAAAACAGAAATACAAATTTAAAAAGAAAGAGAATGCATCTGTATAGCTGAGTCCCATTGCTGGTCACCTGAGACTGTCACAGCAGCATTCATCAGCTCTTGTTGTTTAGTTGCTCAGTTGTGTCCGACTCTTTGCAACCCCATGGACTGTAGACCACCAGGCTTCCCAGTCCTTCACACCTCATCGGCTCTACCCCAATACAAAATTAAAAGTTCAAAAACAAAAAGAAAAGAAAAAAAGAAAATCCAAAAAGAGAATAACAGTGAGTTTAAAAATTGCTTTTACAAACTTGACAGCTATTTCTCATCACATTTGCATTAGTTCTTGTATGTCCTAATAAAGGACAGTAAGATAATTTGCAAGTAAAAAAAGAGAAAGAGAGAGACTTCTGGAACCCTTCTGTATTCCAAGGCCAAGCTGGAGAGGTTTAAAGGCTCTTGGCATCTCTAAGGCCAAAACTTTCACCCAAGCCTTCAGCTCTGGTTGAGAGCCAGATAACTGTTACCCTGACTCCTACTGGTTCATTCCCTGAATATGCTAAAAACTCGGGCAGGATTTATGTCTTATTTGGAGGACAGGATGACTAGATCAGGAGCAAGACATCTCTGACTTAAAATGAAGTCCCACTGTTGAGGTATCTAGTTGTTACTGACACAGAGGAAAAGGTTCCCCAGACTGTCAGGTAATTAAGACACAGAGGTGCAGCGACCCCTGCCCAGTGATCTGAGGGGCCCTGGTAGAGAGTCAGTGATCACAGAACACCGAGGCAGAAAAGGAGCTGGTGCTTGATTCCCAATTCTGAGAGGTGTGTTCGGTGGGAGAGTGACAGCTGGGCTAAGGCCTGGAGTCAGGACCCTGCATCCACAACCCAAGTCCTGGCCTTGGGAGCTGGGGTAGCAGGCCCCCTACCTGCCAGGCATGCCAGAGAAGCAGGTGAAACCAGCTGCCAAACACGCTGTGTCTTAGAACCGCAAAAGGGTAGATTGCCCCTAAGACTATACAAGGAAGGAGGCATTTGATTAGTTTCCAATATGACAGAAAAGGCTGGAACCTTCAGTGCCCATATCCCTCCCATATCTGAAACCCCATGCCTACAGAGGCGAGGCAAAGTCCTTCCCAAAGGCACTCCACACACACAACTATATCTCTTGCGGCTTCACTGGAGATAAAAGATTCTCTGTCGGTATTACCTCCTTTCCCATCTCTTCACCTACTCGATTTGGGAGACAGGAAGGCATTACCTCTGGGAACACAGGCAGATTGGTTGACTGTTGAGAAACAGTGGAAAGGCTCCAAGAAAGAAATGGAAAGAAAAGAGGAAAAACGCACATACAGACACACACAACTTGGGTGCTCACTGGTCCCTTTCATTTATCTCCAGCCTTCCCTCTCCGCTCTCACCCTTTTTAATTGAAACCCAGTACGGGAAATAGTAATGGATATTGTGCGCAAATTGAGGAAACGTGTCTGAGGCTACTCAGGGACAGTTAGTTCAGCAGCTTTAGAGGAGCTGATCCTTCTTTGCCCTGTCAACCTCCCTCACAGTAGTAGCAGCCATCCGATTTGCCATGCCCTCTCACTTATCCAGTCCCTTGTTCCCTCCGCCTTGTCTGCCCCCCCCCCCACCCCGGGGCACCTAACAACACCACCAGAAATAATGGACAGAAGCAAAAGCAGAAAGTCACAGAATTAGGGGCTCCTGTTCAGTCAGTGGACACCCTCAGTCTGCAACTGGGGATTGGAGAATACATCGGTCTATTTCCCTTCACCCTTTGAAATATTCTGTCCCCAAGATTCCCACCACTCCCTGAGGCTACATTCTTAGGACAGATTGCTGAAGTGCCATTGACACCCTTACCTGTCTCGACTGAGACATCTGGAAAGAGGATGTTGAAAGAAGAAAGATTTGGGGTGGTCAACAGTGCCCGGTGCCTGAGGCCGAAGTCAGCTCTGGCTCTGCGCCTTGCAGATGCTGAATTAGATAAGATGAGAGGAAAAATTCCCAGCCTCTTCCCAGTGAACTCATTTCTGCTGGACTAAGAAATATCCATTGCATTATCTTGGGTTTCTTTTTTTTTTTTTAAGTAATCGGGGTAAAACACACAAAGAGAGCATTGAAGATGTAGATTGGTTTGAAATTAGGAAACCACAATTAGTTCCTGTTCCTGACAGAGAGAGAGAGGGAAAAATCCTTTCACAGATGTATAAGAAGCACGCTCCCCAGACACACACACTACTTCCTTCATCCTTCCCTCCTTGCTTCCCTTCCAACTTCTCTAAATCATTGGTCGTTTACAAATTTGCCATTTCGCAGAGCGATCTGCTTTGATGAAAGGTGGGTGCTAATAAGAATAATGCAGAGGGTGAAATCTTTTCATTCTGCCTCTGCCAAAAACATATTTACATTAAAGGGAGGTATGATAAGCATGGATTAAGTATATAACGAATGATGCTCTAGAAACAGCATAAACCAACTGGCGCCAAAGTCAACCTCTGTACTAAAAATACTGCTTCCCCCCCCCCAAGCCAGACAACTCTGACACTCTTCTCTCTCTCTCTCTCTCTCTCTCACACACACACACACACACACACACACGCGCGCGCGCGCGCGCGCGCGCACGCACGCGTGCGTGCTTCAGGCTCTTGCACTGAATCGCCCTGATCAATAATTTAGAGGGCTGTCAGAGGACAGGGAAATGTGCCTTACAGGAAAGCCCTGTGCTGCTGGGGCCAGACAGAGGCTAGGAACTGGGGCTTTAGAACCTGCCATGCTGCCCTTCACCCTGGGCTCCTGCCTTGGAAAGGAGAGGGAGAGAGAAAGGATGGGAGGTTAGAGCATAGGAGCAGATGTGAGAGGCCAGCCCTGGGCAAAGGGTGGTTTGGGGAATACTAAAAGCAGAAAGTGAGACTTCAAATCTACACAAATGGGCCCAGCATTCTTCTATCTTGGAGGGCACCTTATCGTCCTAACCAGGGACATGAGGGGAAGGTGTCTGCTTGAACCCCAGGGAGAGGTAACTCCAGCCTGTCTTGATTTATGGAAAAGAGGAAGAGTTGGGGGTGGATACAGAGGCAATACAGAAATGCAGAAAGGCAGAAGAGAATTCAGAGAGGACCAGGAAAGCCAGAGAAAATAGAAAGGGAAGAGAAGAAGAAAGAACAGAAAAGGTAATAAATAAAAATTAAAAAAAAAAAAGAATGAGAGAAGTGAAGGCTGGGAGGTAGAGACTGAGGAGTCAGAAGCCAAGAACTAGACAGATGCCAGAAAGAGAAGAGAAAGTAGAAGAAAACAGAACAGAGAACACAGATCTGCAGTCATGGAATTTTGAAAGACATGGATAGAGAGAGATGATAGCCCAAGCAGAAGAAAGAGAAATAAAAATGGGTGTCCTGTCTGGTCCAACCAAGACTCTTGTGCCTACCTCTGGAGGGAAACAAAGATGGAGAAACTGACTCTCCATCAAAAAGATTGATCCTGAAGCCTCCAGACCTGAGAGGCACTAGGCTCTTAAAGCAAATTTGCAGGGGGAAGGCAGGGAAAGATGCGAAACTCCAGGAGGAAAACCAAGCCTCCCAGGTCCATGAAGTCCTCCTTTGAATTCAGAGCTGCGTGTGAGAGAGTCAGGGTTTGGGATGGCACAGGGGTGCTAATGTGGAAAGGACGGTGCTGGCTGCTATCTGCTGGAGGAACTTAACTTAGGCACTCACCCCAGGGGAGCTGCCTCCCTGAGGTGCCCGCTAAAAAAGTCACCTCCTGGGTTTGGGGAATTGAATACAAAGGACGATGGGAGTCCTGAAGCAGACACCTAGTCAGTTTTAATGTCTGTCACTATCAAAAGAGCCTGGGATCCCATGGGCAGGGGCCCTGGCCAGAAATGGAGCCGTCTCTACCCAGAAAGCCCCTCCCCAGAGAAAGTTTACATTTCGAACGACCTCCATAGTAAACTCCTTAATTAGGCCCCAGACCCTCCAGGAGAAACCCCTGGATGTCCTTATGTCAACAGAGTTCCCAGTTCAGCGACACCTCGGACTGAAAAACAGCTCTGCGCAGCAAACGGTGGGTGAAAGTTTAAGGGGGAATAAGCGTGTAATAGTCCCTCGCCAGACCTCACACATGCTGAAAAGAATATTTACAGCAAACTTGCCAAAGTAAACGACCCCGCCTACCCACCATCCTTTCCCCTTCCATCCCACAGCCCCTCCCCCCCCCCGTTTTTGTAAACTCCAGATAAACACCATTAGGTCACAAAAGGGTCGATCTGCCCCCCTTTCGAGTGGGAGACAGAGGATGCTCTAGGGAAAAGTGGGAGCCTCAGAGGCTTCCTGGGGGAGATTCTTCGGCAAGGCGGGGGGCTTCTCTGCCTCTTGCGTGGCCTGACCTGAGGATAGAAGATTTGGTTGCGTGCGCGTGCGTGTGTGTGCGCCTGTGCACATATATTTATTCTGAGGCTCCTCCTCGCCCCTTGCCCACTTTAAAATCCACATTCATACTGTTCTTCACCTTAAACACTTCAGACATCCCAGATTTGCAGAGATTTAAAAAAAAAAATCAGGGCTACAATTAGGTGAATACTCTTTGCAAAAGACGGAGGAATATTGAAGGGACACCAGAAGTTCGGCGCATCCTCTCGGATTCAAATTTTGGCCTCCTTTTCCCGCTCTTTTAAAGCACCGTTTCTCAGGCTCTGCCCAGGGGCAGGCTAGGCTGCTTCAGTATTTCCCCGTCTGTCTTTTGTTGAACATGAGGTGGGGGAGAGAGACCGAGAAGATCGAGGGGGTATGCATGGAGGGGGGTAAAAAATGACCTTGGTAGAGCCCTCAGCTAGAGCCTAAAAGCCCAAAAGCCCGGGCCGTGGTGCGCTGGCCTACAAGTTGTCCCAGCCGCCAGGCCTGGCACAAGTCTTCGGAACGCGCTAGCCAATGTTTAACCCGAATGCGGTGACCACCAGGCCGCTTTTGTTTGTTCGCAAATTAATCACCCAGCGCACGGCCGGCGCCAGAGTGGGTTTATCACCCACCGGGAGGGGGGCGCGGCGGCCCCGCAGAGACAAAGAGGAGTTCGCACCTTCCCGCTTTTGATCCCCAGTTACTGAGGCCTCCCTGCATAATACGAGCCTCCTGGGGCCGAGTCTGGGAGGTCAGTCATAATTGGCGGAAGTTTGCAGACCATTAGCAAGATGTCGACATTTTCGATTCAGAACCCCACAAACTTTCCTCTCCCGCCTTCCTCTCTGGCGCGCTGGAGTGGCAACTGGGGTGACCCCAGGGTTAAGGTGGAGCTATGGGCAAAAACAGGCACGTGAGAGAAGGGGCCGAAATCGCGGTTAAGTCCACCTCCACCGTTGAGGCCAAAGGCAAGTCGAGATATTTACAAGTGAAATCAGCAAGCTCCCCTCCCACACAGTCCAAAACCGAAGGGAGGCCAGCATGCGGACGACCGAGTGAAATGTCTCTCTTCCTGGGCATCTGGACGCTTAGGACACCGATTGGGTGGATGTAGGTGTGGGTGTGGGGTGGGGTCATCTCGTGCTTGCAGAATTACTTTCCTTCTCTTCGGTGCGTAGGAGCAGAGATTGGCCGGCGAGTGCAGGCAAAACCAGACCCCGGGTTTGGGGCCGCTGCTGAAAGCACAGCGGTGCGGCCCCAGGCTCCGGCGGCCAGCAGAGTGGGGGAAGGGCGGGTTTCTGCCTCCGGAGACTGGTGAAAACCCTGCGGTGACCTCGGTGGTCGGTGTCAGAAGGGGAAAGGCCTGGGCTTCTCGCACCCTCCGGGGTCTGGCCGCCAGGGACGCGGGAGGGGGCATCGTGAGCCGACACCCAGACCCCCGCCGCTCTTGCTCCATCACCGCAGAGAAAGGCCGAGAGAACGGCCAGAAGAAAGACAGACCGAAAGGGAGAGAAAGGGGCGAGATGGCAAGCCAGACGGAGTTCGCAGAACCACTCTTATTCTCTCTGGTGACTTCAGGGAATTCTTAGCGCTGGCGCCAAGCGCTCTTAACCATGTGCGTCAAAAATGCGAGGCTGGAAAAATCTCGTCGCCTCAAAAGTTCCGCCCCTATCTCGGCGCGGTTGGCCCACAATGGAACTGCATTTTTCACCACCACCCCACTTGCTCCCACTTCGGAATCTGGGAGCTGGGGGTTTAGGGGGTACACGAGGCAAAATGTAAGAGAGGGCTCTGCTGGTTACCTACACACAGTCACACACGTAACAACCCGAGCCTGGGGGTTCTTAACCCCCTAGGCCCCGCAATAAGTCCTTTCTTGGTTCCCAGCTTAGGAAGGGTAAAAGAATACTGTCCCCAAGACGTCCCTCCGTCTAAGCACGGATGGCCCGACTCATTGGCCCCTAGAATCGGGAAATGTGGGTCTGGGGAGTCCTCTGACCCGGACAGGGACCTGCGGTAACTGTTACCAATTCGGCGACAGGTCTGGTGGGTAAGATCCGGTTGCGTCCCTCCCCTTCACCCTTGCTGAGCAACACCCCCCTCCCACACACACACACACCTGAAATGGAGCCAGTCACCTCGCCTCTGGGGTGGGGGCGTTTCATGGTTTGTTTTACAAATTCACCCCCCGACTTCTGGCGAGATAAGTCCCCGGGTGGAGAAAAGAACTGAGGCACCAAGAGATAATTGCGATGCCTGGAGAAGATACTGGCCTGGAGCACCTCCGCTTACCAGCTCGCCCACCCCATTCCAGCAGCTCCTCACCCTGCCGACCGCCGAGGGGAGGACGGCGGCTGGACGCGGACAGGCCCAGAACCTAGTCCCTCTCTCTGCTCACTTTGTTCAGATACCCACTCTGCTCTCACATACACATTCAGGTGGAAAACCGGGAGTCCGAGTCCAAAAGGAAGACGAGATCTATCTAAAAGGGCTGGTAAATGCATTTGAAAAAAGCCCGAGTCCGCCTCCGGAGTGAGTTGAGCGCAGACCCGGGACTGCCGTGCAGGCTGGGTCAGTGTTTGCGTGTATGTGGTTTTCGCGGGTGGTTGAGCCCTAGTGGACTGCTGCGTGTTCGCGTACAAATGTGCTGGGGTTGTTTGGGTCTCCGAGCATAGTTTCGGGTGGGGCGCGGTGGGGAGGGAGCCCCCACCCGCGTGGGCTGAGATCTGGCCGCACCCGCGTGCTCGGGAGCCCGCGCGCGAGCCCTGCTGCCCGGGCAGACCGGCAACGAGAAACACCCGAGCTCGGGAGCCCTTGAGCGGCGGCCGGGAGGAGCTTGGCTCCACGTGGGGCTGGAGAGCGCGCACAAGCCAGGAGTCTCGGCGGCGCTCGCCTCTCCGCGGCGCCCGGCTTTTGTCGCGCCCGGCGGCGGGATGGCAGCTCACGGAAGCCGGGGCCGTCCTCTCTGCTCGCCCGGAGCCGGGTTAAGAGGGTGAGAGGGAGAAGGAAACGGCCGCGGCGGCCGGAGAGGCGAGCCGAGCGCGCGAGAGGCGAGCGCCCCTGCCAGGCGCCCGGCGCGCTCTCCGCCTTCCTGGCCAGGCTCGCTAGCTCCCGCCTCCCTCCCCCGTGCTCCCTCCAGCCCAGCCTCCTCCCTCGATCCCGGGCTAGATGACTGAGGCATTTCAGACATGGACTGAGCCAGAGCGAGAGAGCAAGCTCCGCGGCTGCGGCGATCTCTCGATAAGCCACCTAGAGGCGACTCGGTGCGCGCGCTCCCCAGTGGCTCCCGCCCTCCCTCTGATCATGTTGACATATTCACAGGACAGGCAGTAGTACCGTTGCGGCGCTGCGACGTTACAGTTTCCGACACCTTCTTTTTATAACTCGGCTCTATCCCCCAGCACTCGACCTGTGAAAACCACGCCTATGCAGCAACACAATTGGTCCGAAAGCGTCAAAGAGCCAATCAAGAGGCCTCCGGCTCCCCGCAGCCCACAGCAGAGCCCGACCTTCTAGACCGCCGAGCAGACGCCCGGGGAATTCTAGAGGCGGAGGAGGGTGGCGAGGAGCTCTCGCTGGCTTTCTTTCGCTCCCTCCCTCTCCTGGCGCTCCTTCTCCCACTCCGTCTCTCTCTCTCTCTCTCTCTCCCTTCTTTTCATTCCCCTCCTCCTCCCCCCACCTCTAAATCCTCCCAGCCCTGCGCGTCTGGACGCAGATTTAGGAAGGGAATTCGCTCACGTTTTAGGACAAGGAAGAGAGGCGCGGGAGCAGAGCACACACAGCAAGATTCGGATTGAAACCCAGACACCCTCCGGAGGCTCGGAGCGGAGGAAGGCGGAGGAGAAGGGCGAACGGAAGCCCGCTTGCAGTTCAAGTTTTGATAGCGCTGGTAGAAGAGGGCTTCCATCAGAGATTTTTTTTTATTTTAAGGAGAGAGACTTTTTTTTTTTTTTCTTTTTTCGCTCTCTTCGCTCGCAGTTCCAGCCGGTCTAGCGCAACTGCAGACGCCTCCCGCGAGCCGAGGGGAAAGGCTAGAGACGGGGGGGGCGGGGGAAGAAGAAGAAGAAAAGGTAAAAAAAAAAAAGTCTCCTAGGAGAGCCGTCCGCATTGGCAACAAAGAACTGGGGGCTGGGGAGCAATCGCCGGGACCCAGGGCAGGCGTGTCTATTTCGAGCCGAGCGGCTGGGCTCCGGCGCGAGTCCAGACCCTGCTCGTTCCCCTCGCCTCGGAAACCGACTTCCAGGAGTGGCTTTTTGGAAACGCCAGACACCGGGACAGTCACCCAAGCGACTATGTCTCCTGATTTCTGGCCTTGCCCTCTTTAAAAGCGGCCTTCCCCTGCCCCAAAGACACTTCCCCCTCTTCACTTTGAGGTGCTTTAGTTGTGATCCTCCCACCGCCTTTTTTTTTCTTTCGCTTTTTTCCCCCCTCCAAACTATGCGCTGCTGTTAAAAAAACAAACCAAACCAAAACTAAACAGCAGCTGCGGACTTGTCCCCGGCTGGAGCCGAGCGCCCCGCCTGGAGTGGATGAGCCTCTCCATGAGAGATCCGGTCATTCCTGGGACAAGCATGGCCTACCATCCGTTCCTACCTCACCGGGCGCCGGACTTCGCCATGAGCGCAGTGCTGGGTCATCAGCCGCCTTTCTTCCCCGCTCTGACGCTGCCTCCCAACGGCGCGGCGGCGCTCTCGCTGCCCGGCGCCCTGGCCAAGCCGATCATGGATCAGTTGGTGGGGGCGGCCGAGACCGGCATCCCATTCTCGTCCCTGGGACCTCAGACCCATCTGAGGCCCCTGAAGACCATGGAACCCGAAGAAGAAGTAGAGGATGACCCCAAGGTACACCTGGAGGCCAAAGAACTTTGGGATCAATTCCACAAGCGGGGCACGGAGATGGTCATTACCAAGTCGGGAAGGTAAGCAAGCCACGCACCCTCCCCGCCCCCACAGCTCCCCTAAGCGACTGGAGGTTTCTTTTCTCCTTTTATTTATCTTCTCCCAAAACAGTCGGTTTGCCAGTTATTTGACTTAGAGGAAAACTTATTACCCCCCCCCCCCCGCCCCCGCCCAGAACTGTGTACAGAAAGCTCCCCGGCCTTGCCCCAGTGATAGGAAATTTCAGCTTACCTGGGCGTCTGCAGCCTGTGGTTTTTCCTACCTGGTCTGCATACTGGGTTCTCTATGGGATAGATAGAATTTTTCAGTGGTACACAGACATCTTCTGCAGCAAGAAAGAAAAGCACCCCCATTGCAGGAAAACACTGCAAACCTTTCTGGACCATCCCTGTGTCTTTGTAGATGTTGTATTTTTGTCTGTTTCATTTTGTTTTCAGAGAGAAACACTGAACAGCTCTTTTTGTTTGTGTGGTAGTGGGAGGCCTGGCAGAAACTGCCCTGCCCTTTCAACCCTCCAGCCTAGCTTCTGGATCTGGAGGGGGCCTGAGCCTGCCCCCTGCCAGGGTTAGGGAGAAATCGAAGGGCATTTGGGGTTTGTCCATGCTAGTTCCTGTGTCTGTAATCAAAGGGAGAGCTCAACAGGCAACTCTGGATGATTCAGATTGTGTTTGCAGACCCAGCGAGCCAGCAGGGAGACACGTACTGCTGTTTCATGTATGTTATCGACTATATTTTACATACTGTTTAGAGGTCCTGGCCTGACCGAAACGTGCCTGTCATTTAAAGTCACTGATTTTTTTTTTAAATGGCATTGAAGTCTATCAAGGCATACAGTTGAAGGCATAAAAGGAAAATCCCTCTCTTGTCTTTAGCTCTCTGTCTTTCCAAGCTGAACGAGGCCAAAGTTTACCACTTATCCTCCAGCCCAGAAGACAGTTTCACAGTGATGCATTCCCTGCTCCCTTTTAAGTCAAAAGTACCAAATGCTAACACTTCAGGGAAATAAAGACCAGTTTGGTGGTGAAGTCTTGCAGTTTGGGTCTGGCCCCAAGCAGTGGGGGGAACGTGGTCAGCAGCGAGCTAGGCAGGCTGGTGATGAGGCCTCTGAGTTCACCCCAGTCTGCACAATTCGTTTGGAGAACTCACCGAAGTAGTTTCATTTCGCCAGCAGCGGGATTACTGTTCCACAGCGGAGAGGGGTCCCGACTTGACATTTCTTTTCTTGATCCATTTAACATTTTCTCATCCACGGCTGGTGGAAAATTCTAGCCTTGATTAACCAAAGTCGACTAAAATCCTGCTCCAAGCTGTTTAGAACTAGACACCCGCAGGAAAAGACAGAAGCAAGAATTTCCCTCTAAGGAGGGCAACCTAAAAAGTCATACAAGAGACCAAAAAATTATAAAGAAATTATTAGACAATGTAGAGAAACCCAGTGCCCTTATTCACTTGTTTTGAATCTTGGGCTGTTTAAAATTGAGATATTGAAGCGTATTTAATCCTTCTGTTGCTGAAGGAAGCAATTTTGCACCCAGTCGTCCTTCTCTGAACTGGTAGGAGATCATCAATTGTAACAAAGTTTTAAATTTGATTGAAGTATTTTAGCATAGGGGATCAAACCCAAAATTCTGAGTGGTTTCTTTTTTTTTTCCGTTTCTTCCCTCCTCTCTCCCTTGTAGGCGAATGTTTCCTCCATTTAAAGTGAGGTGTTCTGGGCTGGATAAAAAAGCCAAATATATTTTGTTGATGGACATTATTGCTGCGGATGACTGTCGCTATAAATTTCACAATTCCCGGTGGATGGTAGCAGGAAAGGCTGATCCTGAAATGCCGAAGAGAATGTACATTCACCCGGACAGCCCTGCTACTGGGGAACAGTGGATGTCCAAAGTTGTCACTTTCCACAAACTGAAACTCACCAACAACATTTCGGACAAACATGGATTTGTAAGTTTCACTGCTTGCCTTCCTAAAATTTCCTGTCTTCTCCCTAGCAAAGGCAGTGCTTTCCGCTTCCAGGTAAAATCCAGTTTCTCCCTCACTCTCAGTTACAAAGAGTAACTTGTTCGATCCACAGAGAATTCCGGGGTGTTTCTCTTCGGATAATAGAAGGCCTGGCATTCTAAATTAGTGAGGGGTGAGAGAACTTTATCGGCTCCTGTTCTGTGGCGAGGCCAGGTCTTGGTAACTGCTTGACCTGACGGGAAAGTTAAAAACCCATCGTGAAGATGGAAAATCAACATTAAATTTAGACGTTCATAAAGGATTTGTTTTACGATATCATAATTCTATTTTGAAACCAGTCATAGTATTATTGTTTGGGAGGGTTTTAAAGTTCGAAACCTCGACTGCGTTGGTGAGACGGTGTGGGTACAGGTTTTGAAAGATTTTTCTTCCCTTGGACTAAAAAGGAATCGGGCTCAGGTGAAGGTCAGGTTTACCTGAAATGAGACCTAGATCTCCCGGTACAAAAATTGCATGTGTGTTGCGAGTATATGTATGGATTCAGCACGGGAGTCCCTAGAAACTTTTCAGAGAACTTAGATTGCCTGTAAAAGTCAAGCAAGGGACCTTTTGCCCCCTGCCCCTACGCCTCCCCAACATTTCAATAAAATAAACAGAGTGATAAGTGAGGAATAAGCGGAAAGATTAGGCCCAGGAAGACATGAATGGCACGGACATATCTTCAGCGGGCAGGAATTGCATTTGAAGCCCTTGATTTGATTAAGGCATAAATATTCCTCTCTAGAGTTCAGCCTTTCAGGGCTTTAAGTGGATTGGGCTCATCAATTAGTGGGCGCTTAAAGGACTGAATCATTTTGTAAATTAAAATGCATGTTTTTCTCTATCTTTTAAGACTTTGGCCTTCCCAAGTGATCAAGCAACGTGGCAGGGGAATTATAGTTTTGGTACTCAGGTAGGCTAGGGTTCAACAAAGCAACCTTAGATGGTGAGGGTGGGGGGGGGGAGGGCACCCTGTGGAAACTGAGGAGCAATTTGGATTCTCCAGAATGTAACATGTGGGGAGCTGAAGATTCCCACCGAGGTACTCCGAGAAGGTGGGCTCCCCAGTGCCGTTGGTGGGGTAGACATCAGCCTGGCAGGGGTCCTAGGAACGCATTGGTCCCCCGATAAATCCTCTTGTGATGTGTGTCTCTCCTCTTCCGGCCCCTGCAGACTATACTGAACTCCATGCATAAATACCAGCCCCGGTTCCACATCGTGAGAGCCAATGACATCTTAAAACTTCCTTATAGTACTTTTCGGACGTACTTGTTCCCCGAAACCGAATTCATCGCTGTGACTGCATACCAGAATGATAAGGTAACCAAAGTTGCTTTCCTTTTTAATGGTGATATTAACACCTCCCCATCCTCACCTCCATCCCTTAAGCTGCTTTTGGGTGAGGATGAGAAAGTTACTAGAGCATTGCAATGGGAGTCTGATTTTTCTTTTGTGATTTGACCTTCAGTGGAGCTTGGGGGAAAGTGGGCACTGGCACATAGCAGAGGCAGAAGGAAAACTAAAAAAACTTAACCAGCTAGGGATCCAATGCTGAGTGGGGAGAAAAAAAAAAAAAAAGGCCAAACTAACACTGCCAGTGAGAAGCTCCTGTAACCACCTTAAGGTTGCCTGCCCCACCCCCACCCCGAGCTTTCCCCTGTCTGTTTCAAGGTTCATCCTCTTTGCATTCAGGAAGAAGGATCCAGAAATCAGGTTCGAAGGGAACCAGCTAAAAATTGAAGGCAAAAGCCAGTAAGGATCTTGGGAGGGGAGTCTCAGCGGAGACCAGATTTTCTCCCCTAGCCAGAAATCCTGAGTAGCTGGTCTGGTTTTTATTACCTTTTATGCTGCTGTGTTTTTTATGGTGTGTGTGTGTGTGTGTGTGTGTGTGTGTTTGGAAAAAACCTACTCTGATCACAGGGTCATGCTAATTGAGTTGTCTGAGTCTTTTGAGACGAGATGACCAAAGTCACCACTTCATTTGAAGGCTTTTTTTTCCCCCCTCCCTGGGCCTGAGGCCGGGGATTAGGAGTTCCCCCAAATGGAAGAGCAGACAGCACCTGGTATGTAAGCTATAGTGGCCTGAAGGTCATGGGTGTGTGCACAGAGCAACACAGAGAAAGTTCTGCCAGGCCACCAGTCTCCAGCATGGCTGTTAGCAGGCAGTTACTGGGGGTAGGGGTGAGGGCGGCAGGGGGCACCTGAAGACCCCTGCCCTTCAACTTCTGAACCCTGGCCCTCAGTGCCAATCCAGCTCACCGGACAATGCCGCCCTACATTTTGATTTCACTCTCACTATGGGTGGGTCCTCTGTGGCCTGCTGATGGGGTGTTCCAGGTATGTTTCCTTCATCTGAAGACTAAAGACATCAGGGTCTCCTGTCCCTGAAAGAGGTGCAGAGGAATTGACTCCAAGAGCAAGAATCCATCCAGGGGGCCCTTTTTCCACCTCCAGCAAACTCTGTATACATCATCCCCTTCCTCTGCCTCCATCCCTGGAAAGGGATTTGAGAGACGACATACGATTTTTCCTTAGTGTGTAAAATGCACAATCCTAGACCCAGTACCCTGTGAATCTAAGTTGTTAATGGAATAATAAAATATAGCATTTTTGATCAAAGCAGCCACGGGCCTTCTCCACCTAATGGCGGTGGCAGGGGCATATAAATGAAAACAAATGTTTCCAGCGGTCATTCGGTCCTTTTAAATCTGTAATTGTCAATATTGTAATTCCTCAAACATCCAACACCCAGCAAAAAAAAAATCAAACCCAGTCCAGCACAAAGGTAGTGAAACCCCATAAATCATTTTATTAGATGTACAGAAAAAGTTGGAAGGTGTGCTGTGTGAATGTGTGTGCACGTGTTTGGGCAGGAAATATACCATAACATATTTTATGATCAATTGCACTATATATATATATATAAAATCAAAATGAAGGCATAATTTTAAGATCCACAGGTTGCCCTTTTGACAACTTTTCCATTTCTAAGCCCATGCTGTTGGCTGCCCAGGCAGGATCATTGCAGCCCAGAATCCCTGGTTTGGCCTCCTATGGGTAACGCCAGCCATGGCACTTTCCTTTGGTTTTTCCCCCCGGGCCTCCTCAAACTTCTGCTGTGGTCTCCTCTCTCTCTTTAACCTGGCATGTCCAAATGACTTCTCCAGTTGGAAGTCAGATTTCGCGTGGATCATTTGAGTTGGGGGACAACACTCTGGGAACATTCTAGAAAATGAGGCCAATGTTTCTTTCTTGCTTGTGTCTCCTCTAGATAACTCAGTTAAAAATAGACAACAACCCTTTTGCAAAAGGTTTCCGGGACACTGGAAATGGCAGGAGAGAAAAAAGGTGAGCTGTGGCAGTCATTTCTCAGACAATTTAGAAAATCACTTTTCTGAGTCCTAGGACTCAGCTGTTAGAAGTGGGATGCAGACCCTTATCTTGAGAAGGCTGGTGGAAGGGTGGAAAACAATGTACTCCCCCTTGATCAAGAATCTACAGATTTCACTACACTACTTTTTCTTCTTTCTCCATATTACCTTAAAGAAAGTCAGCTAGGCCACCCCCATAGATGTCTCTGGAAGAAAAGTATCAGGGATAACAGATTATATACAGACGCCTATTAATTCCTAATTAATTTAGGTTTATTCTGGGCAGGTCCCAGGAAAGGACTAAGCCATTCACAAAAATGCTTTGGAATTTTTGCAATCTTGTCTTGCAAATACCCTCAGACAGAAACTAGGCCCCTGGAGACATATATGGCTCCCTCCTTCTGTGGGGACATGTATCATTTTGCATTAAGCTGACAGCTGGATAGTAAATAAAAGAAGCTCTCCCCTCCTCCACTTGCTTTCAAAGAATTTTGAAAATCTAGAAAATCAGCCCCAACTTTTAACCTATCCCCTGGGGGAGTGGGTGGGCATTAAAAAATAATTTCTCACCTGGAAATAGATTCTTTTTTAGTCCGATTAATGTGTTGGTGAAATGATTACAGTAAAGTGCACCATGAAATAACCACTTCCTCCCAATCTTAGCAACCAGTCCAGAGCTGGTCTGCTGTTTGTGTTCACTACTTTGATTCCTCTCTTCTCCTTGGTCTGTGAGGCTGGCTGCTCAGCGGATCTCTGGCCAGCTCCCATCTCCCCTCTTGCTCTTGGCTTTTAAAGAGCAAGCCCCAGCCAGCTGCCCCTTTCCTAGGGAAACCCTCTGGTCTTGAATACAAGCCTTCTTCCTCCCTCCCTCCCCCTGGGCTACAGTCTTCAGCCTGTCCCCGTCCCCGGGTCCAGAGCAAGGTTTGGATCCCTGTGGCCGCCCCCAGGGCATAGAGATTTCTGGGACTTGGTGTCATCCCAGATGCAGGCGGGTGAGGTGTGTGTGCCCGAACCTTTTGGAGAGGGGGGAACATCCTGTATAATGCTGGGTGTCGGCTTCTGCCACAGAAAGCAACTCACCCTGCAGTCCATGAGGGTGTTTGATGACAGACACAAAAAGGAGACCGGCACCTCAGACGACTCCTCCAGCGAACAGGCCGCCTTCAACTGCTTCGCGCAGTCCTCCTCCCCGGCCGTGCCCACTGTAGGGACATCCAACCTCAAAGGTGAGCCTGGCCACCTCTGACCTCAGATTTCTCCACGTCTTGGAGGCTTGAATGAAGAGTTGGGAGCTGGGAGCATCCTCCAGGGAACCTGCCCCTGCAAAGCTTCCGATCCTTCTAGAAGTTTGTAAAACGGAAGCCAAATTTCACCAAGGGGGATCAGGGGTGCCCCCAGCCCCTCAAAGTTAGTCTGAGCTCTCAGATTCCTTTCTCCCAGACATTGGTCTGGCAGGGATGAGGGGGTGGTCTCTCTTCCTGTGTCCCCTCTGGGGGTGGGGGGCTGGAGCATCCCTCTCTTTTGTACCTCCAACCAAGTAACAGCTGATTTTTTTTTTTTTAATATCTTTGAACTCTAGCTTAAAATGTGTTGGACTGGTGAGGGGGTGAGGGGGAACGCAGGTGATTCTCTGCCACTTGGAACAGGGAAGGGGGCTGAGAAAAATTCAGCTCTAGAGCCACCCTAGACCTGTGATAGGAGATGGAGCCCTGAGAGTGGGAGCTGGGGAGGGCAGGGGTGGAAGGGGAGGAGCTGTTCAGATCCTCAGTTGATCTCCTGTGTTTAAAGAGCAAGAACTATTTATTTGGAAAGACACACATGCTCTCAAGGGGAAGAAACCTGTTTTTTAAGTGAAATAAAATGAAAGTCCTTTATGTCTTCAATCTGTTTAAGCTTTAAACACAAAATGGGATTGGTTTTTCTTTTTTTCTTTTTTTTTCTGGTAGGACACCCACAGAGGGTGTGGTGAGAGCAAAAGAGAATCTATGATTGTCTCCAGGCAGTGAGTGGGCACCCCCCCCCCAACCATCACCCATCTCTTGTCTGCAGAGACAGGCAAACAGACAAGGCTCTTGGAGTGTGTGTGTGTGTGTTGGGGGAGGGGAGTTCATGTCTGCCACTACGATTCAGACCTCAGGGTTCTCTCCAAACAAGTATTCCTGAAAGAGTCCACAAATCTGTGGAAGGGACTGAAATCAATCATTAAGGGAACAAAGCTGGTAACCAGAAGGTGTTCCTGCCCTGAGATTTAGTGTAAATCAGTTTGGTTTTTTTTTTTTAAGTGAATTTGCAATCCAGTGGGGGGACAAGGACAGTAAAGGCTTTGTCTGACCTAGTAGATCAGTCCACATGTATAAAATAGTAAAATTCACTACTCCGTTGGGGAGGGTTGCAGGGAGGATTGCAGCTCTAGTTGGAGACTTGAAATACATGACTAGCTGGTGGAACCCTTCCTCTAAAGTCTGAGGTATTGTCACACTCCCACTTTGCAGATGAGAAAACTGAGGTTCAGAGAGGTTAAGAGGCTTTCCCCGGGTTGCACAGCTGGGAAGTGGCCGAGCTGGGGATTCCAAGTGGGGCATTGGAGTTCTGCTGGCCCAGGTTTTAGAGCTAACGCCCTTCCGCCTGGCTTGTCTTCCCCCTCCCGCGGTAGATCTGTGTCCCAGCGAGGGGGAGAGCGACGCCGAGGCTGACAGCAAAGAGGAGCACGGCCCCGAGGCCTGTGACGCGGCCAAGATATCCACCACCACGTCGGAGGATCCGTGCAGGGACAAGGGCAGCCCGGCGGTCAAGGCACACCTCTTCGCGGCCGAGCCCGGCGGGCGGCCCCGGGACAGCGGGCGGCTTGACAAGGCATCGCCCGACTCGCGTCACAGCCCGGCCACCATCTCGTCCAGCACCCGCGGCCTGGGCGCCGAGGAGCGCCGGAGCCCGGGCCGCGAGAGCGCGGCCACGTCCAAGGCCGCGGAGGAGGCGCGCGCGCTGCCGGGCAAGGAGGCCTTCGCGCCGCTCACCGTGCAGACGGACCCGGCCGCCGCACACCTGGGCCAGGGCCCCCTTCCTGGCCTCGGCTTCGCCCCTGGCCTGGCCGGCCAGCAGTTCTTCAATGGGCACCCACTCTTCCTGCACCCCGGCCAGTTCGCCATGGGGGGCGCCTTCTCCAGCATGGCGGCAGGCATGGGGCCCCTGCTGGCCACCGTGTCCGGGGCCTCCACCGGCGTCTCGGGCCTGGATTCCACGGCTATGGCCTCGGCTGCCGCGGCGCAGGGACTGTCGGGGGCGTCGGCCACCCTGCCCTTCCATCTCCAGCAGCACGTTCTGGCCTCTCAGGTATTTTATCAGCTGCCTCTGTAGCCCCTCCTTCCATTCACTCTCCTTTGCCTGCCTTTTAGAACCAGACCCTCACCGAGTCTCCCTGCCTAATAATAATAATAATTTATTATTATTACTAGGGGCAAGGCTTATCTCATTGATTCATCATAAACTCATACTCCCCCCTCAAAACTTAAAACAAAATTTCCCCTAAGTTAAGGGCTGTGTCTAGCAGAGTAACTAGGTGGTATAATACATAGTAACTCTTCACAGCACTTCCTTTGTGCCAGGCACTCTCTTCTCAGTGCTTGATCTATTCTAACTTTTTCGGTGATCCTATGATCACCTCCACCTTCTAAATGAAAGAGCAGAGCTCAGAAATGTTGAGTAACTTAACCAAGATCACACGGCTGGTAGGTAGGTGGTGGAGGTAGGTGGTGGACCTGAGTCTCTAGCCCTAGGCACTCAGGCTCTGGGGGCCTTTTCCAGGGCTGTGATTTTAGCTTCAGAGTTGAAAAGTCTCTTAAATGTTTTACAGCCAGCCCTCCCCCAAGACTAGGGAGATACCACGGCCTGGGATTGGGAACTGACTCCCTGCGACTACTTCCCGGCCCCCTCCCATTCCCCACTTCAAGCAGGCCAGCCTGCTCCCCAAAGGGTTAATAGTTTGTGCACACGTGGGACATGTCAGAGGATAGACTGGGGCTATGGCAGGCCTAGCAGCCTGTGTAAGGCTGAGACAGCTGTGCTAGGGGCTCCCAGCAGCTGGAGAGACGTTTCAGGCCGCTGGAAGTGCTCTGAACCCGGGCAAAAAGATTCTGTGGGGTTTTCTGCACGCCCTTGCCTTTTGTTTTGTCTGAGCACATTCGTCTCCCTTCCCTGAGCCAAGAGGCAGGACTGGCCTCCTCCCCTCTGGGGAGGAGGGAACCAGAAAAGGCTTCTGCCCTTCCACCATCCCTCCCATCTCTTGGTCTAGCCCTTTCTGGAGACCTCACTGGTGGGGAGGTGACAGGTGGCTGAGGGGCTGCCTGGATCAACAAGTAGTAACAGTACTCGAGGCAATGGGTCCAAGAGAGCTAGCCCAGGCCATGGCCCCAGGATTTTAATTCTGCTTCTGCCACTTGCTAGTTGACTGACTTCCTATACCCGGGGGTCTACCTCAGTCTCTCCACTTGTAATATCTGGGGCTCGGTGATTTCTCTGTCTCTGTTTATAGCAAATACCCTTTACTCTCTCCCCTTCCAACCTGCCCTCGCCCCTTTTCCTTTTGCCTAAGGATCTTCCCCAGATTTATTTATTTTTTGAGAAACTTCTAAAATGGAGTGGGAGGGCTGTGAGGTGGGGCAACAAGAATGGGGGGGAAAATGTATGTCCAATAGTTTATGCCCTCTGCTTTTCAGCAGTTACTTTTGTGGGGTAGACTGTAGCCCCATTTAACAGGTGGAACAACTGACTGATGGGAGAATTTCCAGTCTTGATGGCCAGGCTCCCTGTGTGAAGCATATTGCAGGCAGCAGCAGCTCATTTCACACCCCCAGAGTCCCCCAAAAGAATATGAATTGGTGAACTTTTCCGTTTTTGCCATACAAGAAAGCTGAGGCCTAGGGAATGAGTAATTTGGCTTAGGGTAACACAGCTCAGATTTGGGTCTAGACGCAGAAGTTGGAGCGTCCTGCATCCTATCCGCCTGCAACACCCCAGGGAGTGAGGTTAAGGACTCGTCCACGGGGACGGTGGCGGGTGGAGGGGGGCGTGGAGGAGGTCGGCTCCTCCCCACCGCGCAGACCCCGCTTGCTCACTCTGCCCTGTTGTTCTCCTCGCCCAGGGCCTGGCCATGTCGCCTTTCGGAAGCCTCTTTCCTTATCCTTACACGTACATGGCCGCAGCAGCGGCCGCCTCCTCGGCGGCCGCCTCCAGCTCCGTGCACCGCCACCCTTTTCTGAACCTGAACACCATGCGCCCGCGGCTGCGCTACAGCCCCTACTCCATCCCCGTGCCGGTGCCCGACAGCAGCGGCCTGCTCACCACCGCCCTGCCGTCCATGGCCGCCGCCGCCGCCGCCGCCGCCGCCGCGGGCCCCCTCGACGGCAAGGCCGCCGCCCTGGCCGCCAGCCCGGCCTCGGTGGCCGTGGACTCGGGCTCGGAACTCAACAGCCGCTCCTCCACGCTCTCCTCCAGCTCCGTGTCCTTGTCGCCCAAGCTCTGCCCGGAGAAGGAGGCGGCCACCAGCGAACTGCAGAACATCCAGCGGTTGGTCAGCGGCCTGGAAGCCAAGCCCGACAGGTCCCGCAGCGCCTCCCCGTAAAGCCCTCCCCAGAAAAGTCTTTTCATTCCAGTCCAATCCAGTCTGCAGTGCACTTTGTTGGATGTCACATAAACCGCGGGCCTGCAGTGAGGTCAGCCCTTTTTTGTGCAGCCCTGTCTGGGAAAGGGGTGCTGGACTCCCTGGAGAGAATGTGCTAGAAACAGGCCCTGTCTTCTTGGCTGTGGTTTATACATCCGGGATCTGGCTCAGAAACGTCCCAGTTGCATTGAGCTGTTGGGGGTAGGAGTTCAAGCCTTGGCGGCCAGAGCACCTCCTTGGGGGCTGGTCTGGAAGCTGTGGGAAGATCCGAGGTAGCCAGGCCCCAGGAGGGGAGGTGTTGAAAAGTTTCTCCCCCAGTGAAGATCTATATATGTGTGTGTGTGTGTGTGTGTGTTTTCCTTCACCGTCCCAAGTGGAAACACAAAATTGAAAAAAAAATACTGGGGACAAATGGATACATTAACATGATTCTGTTCGTGAAGATTAAAAACTTTCTAGTGACGTGCTTATCAGTTCTAAATAAATTACTGGGCAGCATTGTTTGGGGAGGGAAGTCTCTGCCATCCTTGTTTAGTCTCTATTAAGGAAATCTGTGTCTTTTTAATAATTCTTGTGATGTTTTAAGAGCTCTAGGTCTCTTGCATGTTCCACAGTAATGTATTTGTGGGTTTTATTTTTGAATGCTTGCTTTTAGAGAGAAAATATGACCCCTTATCTTTTCCTAGATCATTGACAACCCCAAGGGGGATGACTTAAAAGGAAGGGATGGGGAAGATACCAAAAATGAATTTATTTTATCTAAGTTCTGTAGCAGGATTCATGTTGTCCCTCTGGCAGTTCTTTTCTGTTTCCTGTATATGCAATAACAAGGTTTTTAAAAAAAAAAAATAAAGAAGCGAGACTATTAGACAAAGTATTTATGTAATTATTTGATAACTCTTGTAAATAGGTGGAATATGAATGCTCGGAAAATTAAACTTTAATTTATTGACATTGTACATAGCTCTATGTAAATAGGATTGCAGCTGTCAGGTTTTGTGGTTTTGTTTTCCTATAGTCAGTTTTATTTCAAGGTCACAGGATCGCTTTTAAAAGTAGAAAACACACTTTCTGCACCGACACCAACACACTTTTCAAAAAGAGTCGTCTGCAAAGAAAATTTCTTTTTTAATGTCCAAAACTGGGGGAAAGTGCTATTTGCTTATTTTACCGAAAACTGGGGAGGTGGTGCCACTTCCTAGCCCCACCTGAAATTCCTAAGAGTGTTTTTGAGATTGCTTGGGGAGGGTGGGGGGGAGGGGAGTGCAGAGGCTGTGGTTTGACTTTCTAATTTTTCTTTCCTATTTGTATTTGCTAGTCTCTGATTTCTTCAAAACAAAGTGGAATTGACTACTTACTGTCTTCAGTGTTGATGTTTTGAATTGATGCCTCTAGAGAGAAATATTCACAGTTAAAAAGTCAGGTGCTGAGAGATGGTTCAAAGACAAAAATTTCATGAAGGTATATTTTGTGTTATAATTGTTGATGAGTTCTTTGGTTTTCTGTATCCCCCCCCCCTTTTAAAAATCTCGTTGAAATTTCAATAAATTTTTATTGAAATGTCTTTGGGCCTCCTGTTAAGTGTTTTGTTTAGGGACCTTTCCTGAAAGTGGAGTCGCCTTTCTTCCCTAGCTTCCTTTGTAACCCCTTCTCTTTGCCTTTAAATAATTAAGACCGCCCCGACTGAAGCCAAAAGAGGTGTCACTCAAGTTACAAAGCTAAAAACAAAAGTCCCTTACTCGGCCGGCGGAAGGGAGCCGCTTCAATCTGAAATTACTTTTCCTTGAAATTAGGAAGCAAAACGAGAGGCGGAAGGGGGGCTGATTAGAATTGGATAGACTCGCAATTGCAGATACTTAAGTTTTAATGGAAAAAGAATGTTCGCTCCCTAAGTCAGTGTTTCCCAGCCGAATCCGATCAAAAATGAGTGCGAGGACCGCGAACGTTTTCGTTTGGGGTTCGCTCTTTCTCTGCGCTTCAATCTGAGCCATCCAAGTCAGTTTTTTCTTGCCCCAGTGTGCAAAAATACAAAAAAAAAAAAAACTAGCAGAATCTCCCCGCGGCTAGCTCCGGCCTGGCAAGGAGCAATCCTCCAGGCCGCCCGAGAAGGGGACAAACTCGATGTCCCCTGGAGTCCCCGGTGTCTCAGATTGGACTAGGCTGACCCAAGGTACCCCTCCGAGTCCTCAGCCCGGACTGTGCGTGTGACGCGCGGCCAGCTCTGCGCAAACTTTGTGTCCCGCGAGGGAGGAGGGCAGTTTCCAAAAGGTAATTCCAGGGCACATATTTGACCCCCTCCCAGGGAAAAGTCACCAGGAGGCTGACACCCTCCTCCAGTTCTTCCCTCCAACCAGCCTCCGGGGCTGTTTGGGGAGTTGCCTTTTGAAGTTCGATTTATCTTTGAAACATTCAATAAAAAATGGTGAGGCCGCGACAGTCTTTGGTCTCCTGGCCTCCCCACCCCCAGCCTCGCCTCGGAGGTGTGTGTAAGTGAGTGTGCCGGGGCGGGTGGCGGGTGGGGTGGAGGTCGCGGGGGTTGGAGGACGGGAAGGTTCTCCAGGCCTTCTCTTGTCTCTTGTCTCGGGGGGCCTTGATGTGGGGACGCAGCCGGAGCCTGCCTGGCGGCTGCCTTTCCATCCCCCCCCGCCCCCCACCTCCCTGGAGCCCGCCAGCCCGGCCCCAAGTCCCTGTCACCTTCGGGGCCTCTTGAATGGCCAGAGAGGAGGAACCGCCCCCGCCCCATCCTGTACTTGGAAGGAGATCGAGGTCGAGACCTTTTGGAGAGGGGGCATAGCCCCTTCCATCTCCAACCAGGCACGTGGGGAGCCCACAGCCTCTCCAGCGCTGTCTCCCAGGGTGGGAGGGAAAACCACCGGGGTAGGAGGTGGGTGCGTGGGGGAGCTTTGCGGGGCCCGGGGATCTTTGGGGCGCTAGCTCCCCGAAGGGCCCGAAGATTTCCAGGGCGCGCGCCCCAGGCACAGAGGCTGCAGCTGACCGGGGCTGTTTATTGACCCAACTATTAAGTGCAGTGCCTGCGCCCCAGGAAAGTGGCAGTCAGTTGGGGGTGCCCGGGAGGCGCTCTCCCTAACCGGGGTGGGGAGAGGCAGAAAACAGCTTCGGCCCCAAGAGGGAACGAATGCTTTTCTTTCTCGGTCCCGATTTGCTCACCTCCTCCCCACCGCACCCCACCCCCCAAATTCTCGGACGGTGCTCAGACGTGTGGCCAGCCTCTCTACCTCAGTGCTTCCTTTTTTTTTTTTTAATTTAATCTCCCGTGTATCTTATTTGTATATAGTGATGTTAATGAGTAACTCTTGTGGCGCTGATGGACGGGGGTGAGCGGCTCGCAATCTCTCTGGGTTTCGTTGCCTATTACTCACCTGGCGCCGGCCGCAATCTCGCCGCGGGCTTTATGGTGGCGGCGGCCGCTGCGGAGGCCACTCGGGGCCGGCGCCTTGGCCTTTTTTTCTTCCCCCGAGCTTCGAGTGCCACCTATCTGTCTGGCCCACGAATGCGCCCCGGTGGCGGCCGCTTTCTCGACTCCCCGGAGCTTCCCGAGTTCCAGAGCTGGGGGGTTTCACCTTTGCCCCTTCTCATCCTCTCCACCCCCAGCCCGGGCTCCCCTCCTTCTTTGCCCCCCACCTCAGCACACCCCCCACACCCCAGCATCGGAAGAAGCCGCCGTCATCTCTTTCCTGAATATCACTTTCACTCCTGTTTGGGCCTCAGATGAGAAAAACAGTCCTTCCCGACTCTGGGTTTCCAAGAGCCTTCGGAAATTCAGTGAAGGGGACCCTCTCTCATTATTTTCTCGCCAAATACCTTTCTGATTCGTGTAGAAAGCTCCACTAATTCCCCCGACCCTGTTGGAGTGGGCATAACCCGAGCCACTTTATCGGTAGATAATGAGAGAAAGGATCCCCGCTCCGCAGTACAGGCCACTCAGAATCTCCCCTGGACGCAACTCCCTTGTGTCTGATGCGCTATCTCTTCCCTACTTTACAACGCTGGATTTTTTTTTTTTTTCTGGTTTCTACCCTGGTCGCTTCTACGGGGACGAAGGGCACCCGGCTTGTGGGAGCAGCAGTCCGTAAAAGGCCCGGCCTGGGGTCAGCTACCGCAGCCTGCTGGGCCGAGCGATTTCGTGATTTGTAGATTTAAGGTGACAAATGCGGGTGCCAGCCTGAGCCCTTCGGCCCCCGCCCCTTGGGAAGGTCGGCTCCAAGCCTGGCTGCGCCCGGGCGTCTGAGACCGGCGGCGGGGGAGGGGGCAGGCTAGTTTTTTTTCCTTCTTTTTTTTTCCCGCTGTGCTCCGAGCCGCGGGTGAAGGCGTCCGAGTTCCTGCTGACCTCCCGGCGCTAATTGCGGGGGCCGAAGGGCGCGCTCTAGCAGAGGCCGGGGTCACGACCCCGCGCTCCTTCCTCCCGGGTCCCAACAAGCTCGATGGAACCGCGTGTGCGCTCACGGGCGTGCGTCTGCTAGTGTGTGTGTGTGTGTGTCTGTGTGTAGAGCCTCCCTCTGAATCTGAGCTGTCCTAGAACCCACCCTTCTTTTGTGGGGCAAGTTTCCGGCGGGTAGGCCCTTCCAAAAATTCCATCCAAGAAGGAAAACCCTGGTGCTGACCTTTCCTATGAGCCAGCAGACAGGCAGCCGCCTTTGGGCTCTGCGAGAAGCTTGAAACGCTTCGCGTCCGTGCGCTTTTCTGCCTCGCTGGTTTCCAATTTTGACCTCACGGCAGCCAGCCAAGAGAGTGGCTGTTAGGGTGTAGATGCCAGGCCTCGATCGCGACCTGGCTCTTAGAGACAAAGCTCTAGAAAGTTCGTACCTATGGGTAACTCTTTGGGGGTTCTGGGGCCAGGAGCTACAGGTGTTAGAAGTAGATGCGTGTGTGCCCGCGTGGACTTGTACGTGCCCCACCAGGAGATGTCTCTTCCAATTTGTATTTCGAAGTTGCTGGGCAAGACAGTTCCGGATGTAGATGCCTTTGGTTGTTTTATAATCAAGATGCGTATAATCAAGATGTATATGTTGCAGATGTCGGCGTTCAAAGTACACGGAACAACAATAATAAAATGAGCTGGCAGACGGGGCACGTGCAAGAGACAGACACTGGGTTCAGCGCCCCACAAAAGAGATCGCCTTTAATGCCGCCTCACAATTAACCCTATGGTGTGCGCGGACGACCTTTAGCCTTGTTTTACGAAGTAGGGGGAACGGAGGCTCAGAACCGTGAAACCACTGACCCAGGAGCGCCCGGGGAAACTGTGGAGCCAGCATTTGAGACCAAGTGGGCCCGGGAATCCACCTGAACCACTCAGTCTATCTAGTTCAGGTGGAGGTGTGCGTATATCCCGGATGTAGAGAAATCTATGGGCTTGTGTGTCGTATTTTGGTGTGTGTCTTGCCGGGTTTTCTGACGAGAGACCATTTTACATTTCTTCGGGCGTCTGTCCGGCAGGGCAAAAGTGCAGTTTCTATCTCGGGGTCTCATTCTCTGGCCCTGTCTCCCGGATCAAGGGAGGAGACCGCACGCTTGGGGCCCTGGTTCCCAGGCGGATGCAGCGACGGTGGGCTGGGGACGAAACCCACTTACAGACGCACACGGCGGGGCACGCCAGTGGATACCGTGCTCTGGTCCGGATCCAGAGGGACAGCGCGTTACAATCGCGCGGTCGTGCGCCGGGGTGATCACACTAACTCCAGTTTCCCTCTCCCGCCGGGTGGGAGGGCGAGACTCGGGCTTTTCTCCGCCGCCCTCGGGTCCTCACCTGCGACCCTAGCCCTCGCGATGCTCCATCTGCCTGGGCGCCGAAGCTGGGGACCGCAGGTGGGGACACCCCCGGCGCTGGCATCGTTTTCTGTTCTTTCCTGATTCGATCCTGATCAACTTCCAGGAACTTAAGCAAATTTACTTGCTCTCTTTCTCTGAACTCTTTGGCCCCAGGTGGGAGCCGAGGGCTTGGCAGGTGGGGAGAGGAGGGAGAGGGGACTATCGAGGGCACGGCCCCGCTCAGGAAAGGGGGTGTCTGCTTAGGGAACAGCGCGGCCCAGTTTCCCTAGCCTGGGCATCTGGAGGCCCCAAGCACCCGGGGACCGAGGCAGGGGTCTGGATGGAGGCTGGGCGAGGAAGTGTCAGGAGCAGGGGTGATGGGTGGACACAACACCCCCACCTTCGGCTTGGGTAGGGCATAAGGACCCCTCTTCCGTGCGCCGCAGATGCAAGGCGCTTTCTGCCCCCGCGGCTGGGATGAAGTCTGGCGGCCTGTGTCCCTCGGATCCCGCAACTTTGAGCCAGTTCTGGGTTAGGGTGGGGGTGAGAGTTTGGGGTACGGGGGGGGGGACTTAGAGAAGGGACATTGGCCCCGTCCGGGCCGTCCGGCTCTCGGCAACCCCTCGCCCTCCCTAGTCCAACGATCCGAGTCAGTCAGTCAATTTGAGCTTTTGAAATGCGATCCCCCGCGCCACTTCGGTTTCCCGCTAATGACCCGGGCTCTGGTTTCGGGCTAGCGAATGGCACCCGGAGCTGAGCTGCTTCTCCGGGCCCGCGCCAGTACCCGCCCCCCCCCCACCCCGTCTAGGCTCTCCTCCCGCCGGCGGCCGGCGCGGCGGGCCCAGGCCGGGGCGTCCCCTGGCTCCTTTCAAGGTCCCCAAAGTGTCAAGGACCCCCAGGCACAGAACTGACGCTCGGGGCACTGACTTGCTCCCGCTTTTGCTTTTGCGCTTTGCCGCCCACCCCAGTCCGCAGCACGGACTTCTTCGACGTCACTTTTTCTTTTCTTTTCCCCCTTCTTTCTGTGCCGGACGGAACCAGGCACCCCTCGCTTTCTCGGGAGCTCCTGAGGAGCGCCAGTTGTCGGGGGCAGTGATTTTAGTCGCTCCCACGCCCCAGTCCCGGGGTAGGAGCCCGTTAGTCATGTGACTGCCAGTGGTGTACCCCAATCCACACCAGGCCTTGCCCCGGCGCCCCTTCTCCAGAAAGCACGCACCATTTAGCTAGTGGGCATTCTCTAGGGTGAGGGCTCTTAACTGGAGGCCAGGGCTCCTGACTTCAGCCGATCCCCAGAAATCATATACAAAAATTTCGTACTTTGTATATATACAGATTTAAGGGAGGAAACCCCTACAGTTTCTCTCAGCTTCTCAGAGGTATATGAACCCAAGCAAAGTAAGGTGCACTCGGTGCTTGAGGGACAAAAAGAAATGGGGGGTGGTTTGAGGGAGGAAAACCTCCAGAGTTTAGAGACTCTGGTTTTGTTTGGAGAGTTTGGTTTTGGTCACTTGGAGTGTAGCTTTGGGGACCAGCTCCATCTCTCTGGGTGTCCATCTTGCTCACCTTCGGCAAGGACACTGTTGCCTGGCTTATTTTGAAGCTGAGCCTCCAGACCCGGAAGGCTTCAGGCATCGTCTAATTAGCTGACTAATTAATGATATTAACTTATCAACCCAATGATTATGAACAGTCATTATCACTCCCAATGAATTCTGTGTTAATTTCCTGTTGCTAAGGTCACCCCCCACTGGACTATCACAGGTAATAAAAGGAAACCACTTTTCATAAAACAAAATTGCTTTTTACTGCACACCCTCCTCCCACCTTAAGACCCAGGGCAAGGGGAGCTGCAGAGGGGTCTCCTTTGGGGAGAGAACACTGGGGTTCAGGCGAGGAGTCCCCCTGCATCTACACCCCCTTAGAGCCACCTCCATGTACATCGTGGGGAGTTGGCAGATTTCATCTTTATTTAGACCTTGCGAAGGGCTTAGTTTTTCATGTGTGTGTTTTTAAAAAATTTTTATTAAAACCACACCTGGTGGAATCAGGGACCTAAATTTTGGAAGATAGATGTGTATGTGTTGACTAGGGAGGGATCTGAGTGTTTAGGATCTGAGGGTCACCAGAGCCCACCCCCCACCCCCCACCCCCACCCCCACCCCCACCCCTGGGTGAAATAATGGACAAGGGGAAGGCTGGGACCTCTTTTCACTGCAGAAAATTCCCTTTATCTTTACTGCCCAGCAGAGCCTAGAACAAAGTAGGCACCTACCCAAATTGTGTGTGAGGCCAGCCTAAACATGCTCAGGAACCCCATTAACTTAGAAGGCAGAGGTTATAGTGGAAACATTTTAAAACGAACGTCGCCTGCATTTTCCTCTGTCATGCTTCCCTCTTTTGTTTTATTTCGGCAAACACACCAAGCACACATGAAAATTCACAAGCACTTAAAAGAAACTTTCTAGACAGGGCAGAATGTTCGAGGAGAGAGGGGAGGGTACTCCTGTTTCCTCCTCTCTGATAAAATAGGGCCCCAGGGGAGCCCCCCATCCCCACTCCCAAGTTTTGCCAAAAAAAAAAAAGCCTTTTGGTGGTACTTGGCCACTTAGAGGTGGATTTCCTCCCTGCGTCAAGACAAGATGGATTTCATAGGAGGTGATATAAGCAAGGGCTCATTACTTCTCTCCACCCATGCCTGCTCAGCCCTCCTGAATCAACAACCCCCAACCCCCGCCCCAACTTCACTCCAAACTTTGCCCCAAGACTTTCCCGCAGGAAAATAACAAGAAAAGTATGCATGGTGTGACCAGCGTTTGGCAAAAGCCTGGACCTGACTCAGGGAGATGAAGACGCAGCGTTTTTGTTTTCTATCTGTTAATAAATAGGCCATTTCTGCGCTGGGTTTCTTTGACATAAAAGCCTCTCTAGTGTTATTTCCCCCGATTTCTTGATACACCCTGGTCTCTGAGTTAGAGCAAAGGTGAGGAAGCGCAAACAGGAAGGGAGGACTGCACAGTCAATCAACACTAACTCTTGGTTTTTCCTCTGGGCGGGGGGAAAAAAAAAAATCGAGCTACCTGTTTTGCAGAGATCAGGGGAGGGAGAATCAGAAATAAAAGCGGCTAACGATCACCGCTCCAGCGCCTTTGCTTGGCCGTTCCTTTGCCGCCATCTGCTGGCTCGTTGTGGGAAGTGCAGGGCGCTTTTTCAAGACTTTCAGGGAGGGTGAGTCATTCATTCTTTATCCATTTATTTATTAAGCAAGTAGCTGTGTCTAAGACTCGATCTCTGTTCTCATCAGTTTTGCATCCCAGAAAATCTAGCTTCATAGCCATCCCCTGTAAATAAGATACAGAGGGAACAAAGAGGTCAGAAGAAAGAACCAGGTCCTGTGAGCCATCCGTGTTTCATGTGGCTTGTAAGCTAGAAATGGTTTTTGCACTTTTAAATAGTTGGGGGTGGGGAAATCAAAGGAAGAATACTTCGTGTGCCAATGACTTGATATTCAAATTTCAGTATTCAGAAATCAAGTTTCATCGAATTCAGCCACACCTATTCAGTTACACATTCTCTGTGGCTGCCAGATTGAATTGCTTCAACAAGAGACCGTGTGACTTGTAGAGTCAGAAATCTTCCTTCTGTGGCTTCTTTCAGAAAAAATTTGCTGGCCTCACTTCTAAAGGAAAGGTTGGCTACTAGCCCCTCATTTTTCAAAATGGAAAACGGTGCTACAAATCCGGAGAAAGTCTGGAGGACTTTGAAGTGAAGTGAAATGAAAGTCACTCAGTCATGTCTGACTACTTTGTGACCCCTTTGAAATAGAAATGAACTGCAACAGGAGGAGACACCCAGCACTTAGTAGGTTCTCAATAAGGTCACCTCCTCGGGACAGGGGCACAGGATCCTGGAGAAAACGCGCCAGTTGCAAGATGTAGACGGTTTCCGTTTGTTTTTGTTTTTTCTTAATTTGCTCGCACGCGTGTGTGTGTGTGTGTGTGTTTTAATTTATTTATTTTTAGTTGAAGGATGATTGCTTTACAATATTGGTTTGATTTCTGCCATACATCAACATGAATTAGCCATGTTGTGTCTGACTCTGTGCGACCCCTTGGACTGTAGTCCGCCAGGCTCCTCTATTCATGGGATTCTCCAGGCAAGAATACCGGAGTGGGTAGCCATGCCCTCCTCCAGGGGATCTTCCCAACTCCGGGATGGCACCTGGGTCTCCTGCATTGCAAGCAGGTTCTTTACCATCTGAGCCACCTGGGAAGCCGGGATCAGCCAGAAGTATACATATGTCCCCTCCTTCTTGGCCCTCCCTCCCACCTCCCCCCCCTTTTTCCACCCCCCTAGGTTGTTACAGAGCCCCGGTTTGAGTTCCCTGAGTCATTCAGCAAATTTCCATTGGCCGTCTATTTTGCATATGGTAGTGTATAGAGTTCCATGCTACTCTGTCTAAGCATCTCACCCTCTCCTCCCCACCCCACCCCCCACCTCCGTCCATAAATCTGTTCTCTATGTCCGAGTCTCTATTCCTGACCTGCAAATAGGTTCATCAGTGCCATCCTTCTAGATTTCATATATTGGCATTAGTATAGATATCTGAGTGAGTCGGTTCTAATGAGGTGGATGAACCTAGAGCCTATTACACAAAGTGAAGTAAGACGGTTTTGGTTTTAAAAATCTCCGACAAAGTTTAAAAATAACAGATCATCAGAGTCTAAGGAAAGAGCCTGGTGCGGGCTTGTGTACACTCAAGGTGGAATCAGCTTTGTTTCAGATCTCACACTCAGGAAAAAAAAAAGCAGGAGGCCTGGGAGAAGAGACAAAGGCCGAGGCTCGCCTTGAATGACTTTTTTTGTGCTGTGCTTTGCTTTGGTATGAATGGGGGCGCCATAAGGTCATGTTTATTCCTCCCCACAGCTTGTAATGATTCAAAACACAAAAGAGGCTGCAACCATTTCTCTCTCTCTCCTTCCCTCCCATTCTTCCTTCCTTCCACCTTATTCCAGATAGCAGCCTTCATTCTGAGGGTCAGGGGAGGAAACAGAGGCTCCGAGAACTTCAGTGTTGAGCCCAAGTTTTTGCATCCAAGGGGTGACTTCATCAGAAGTTCGGGGACTCCTCCTCTGTGTTCTTTCTACAATGATGAGAGAGACCTCCCTCTCTGTCAGCTTTGGCTTCAAGGAGAGCCTCCTTATTTATCATTTGGAAGCCCCAGGATTTACAGAGCCCAAATCCAAGCTGAAAATGGAGGCAATTACCCAGATAATTTAGGTAAACGTCGGGGTTGTGTGGTGAGTGTTTTAACATCCCGGTCTGAATTATTGGCGTAATTGTTTCCACTTCTCCTCATTGTGCCCCTGAAGAGGCAATTCTCCCGACAGCCCCTGTTGGTTTTGTCCTGGGGAGGACAGGGCCCTGGTAGCTAAGGAGAGCGGGCTAGAAGCCGGGCAAACTCTAGAGGGCCAAGCCAATTTGTGTTTGAGGTCAATAACCTTTGTGTTTCCATCAAAACCCCATCCAGGAGGCACACTCCACCCCCTAGCAATTTGACAGTGGAAACGCTCCCCACATAGGAAACATCAAAGCCACAACAGCGTTCGCACACCTCTGTGTGTGAGTGAGTGCGCGCCCGTTAGAAAAGAAAACGAGGCACAAAAAGGACTTTTTTATTTCTCTTTTATGCTTTTTGTTTGCCAGACTAGTTTCCTTGAGATCTTTTTTTTTGTCCCCCTTTTTTTTTTCCTTGTCATCTTTAGACAGGAGAGTTTTGGCTTTGAGAAATTGGAATCGATAATCATGTGGATTTGTCTGAAGGAAATGGTAGAGGAGTTTTTAAAAACTGAAAATAAACCTTCACTAATTTCTTAGAAGAAGACAATGAACTGTGGAGTTGTTTGGTCCCCTCCTCCATCCTTACCCTCCACTCCCCCATCCTTTCCCCACCCCCCACCCTCCCAACCCTCCACCGTCCCTCCCATCCCCCCACCTTACCCCCTTTCCAGTTTCCTTAGGAGGAAAAAAAAAAAGCTTCAGCTCCAGGAACCTTCATTTCTCTGCTCTTAAAACAGGATTGATAGTAATCCTTGCTTTATGGGGTTGTTGGGAGATAATATAGATACAACAGAGAGTGCGGGACTGACATGGAGTCAGTCCAATGCCCTCCTGCCATTATTATCAGGGATGGAGTCTGAGATACTGTCTGCTAAAGTGGACATAAGCCCGTGCATTTCCAGAAACAAACCAACAACTTCCAGACCTCCCAGTCAGTTCCTTCTCCTGGTCGGTCAGTATATACACACAGTGAATCAGAAAGGCTGAGCCTCACGGACACCCCAACAATGGGAAATCCCTGCATTAAAGTTTTATAGACAGCGGTCGTTTACTTCAAAAGAAAACAGAGTCTGGACTAAGGCAAGCTGGGGTCCGGTGACAACAAGTAGAACCAGGAGCCCCCGAGGACATAAGCTTCTTGCCTCTTTTCTTTATTTATCGCTGATGCTCACGCCACTCGGGGAAGCAGGAGGTTGGCAGGCTTACCCCTCACTTAGAGATAAGGAAAGGAAGGGCCGGGAAGGTCAAGGTTTTATGTCAGGACCTGAAGCCATTTCAGGGCCAGAGAACTCAGTGTTCAGTAAAAAAAATAAGACCAAGTCAGCAAGCTCAAAGGAGGATACAAATGTTGAGTGTGGGTCAAAACACAGGCAGAGATGATGAAAATCCAGCAGGTGTATTATCTCTGATGACTTCACATCTATGACAACCTCTCATTTGGAACAGCATCATCCCCACAAATACACATCAGATTTGTATTCAGCCTCAGACTGGTGGAGTCAGAGTTTTGGGGACAGGCTCTGGCCTTGGTATTGTCTTTTTTTTTTTTTTTTTTTACATTTCTTGAGTAATTCCAAAGAAAAACTAAACTATTTAGAGGTCTTGATAATCCCTCCAGGGGACTCAAATCTCATTCATAAGTCATGTTTAGTGGTGAAAAAAAAAAGACCACTAATATTTTTTTCTCTTTGAGTCAAAAGAGGCTTTGAAAAGAACAGGAAGGAAGGCATTGAACCCCAGCTCTAAAATTTGGATTATTAGGTTTCTTCCTCTCAGGCTCTGGTTTATTGGATCCATGGCCCCCTGGCATCAGAGGCAAAGGTGGCGGGTGATTGTGCAGAGGGGCATTTTTCGAGGGAGATAGTCCAAGGTTTTCATCAAATTCTCAGAGTGAGCACCCCTGCCCTTCTTTCCAAATGCGTAAAAGTCCCTGCTCCAAGACTAAGTCAAACTAAGTATGTTCCTGGAAAGGGATTGCTGAGGGATCAACCTCCATCTCTCCGCACTAAATCCACTGCTGTCAATCAAGGTCATGGCCTTATCTTCTTCCATCTCCTGGCTCCATTGACCCTGGCGACCATGCCTTCTCCACACCTCTCTCTCCCTTCTGTTCCCATGACCCCGAGGCCCTCTGGTTCTCCCCCGGCATCTCTGGCCATCTTCCCATCAGCGTGCCCATAGGTTCCTCCTCTTTGCCCATCTGTACATGACGCAGCGTCTCAGATGCCAGCCTGGTCCTCCCCTCCCCTCTGTGTACGCCCCTTCCTTATTCCCTGTCCATCACCATGTTGCCAGTTTCAAACTCTGTCCTTCTCCAGGCAGACAACCAGTTTTCTGTCTTCCTTCTTAGCTTGCCAAGTCGCTTTGACGGTATCTGACTCTTTTGTGATCCTGTGGACACCCCGCTAGGCTCCTCTGTCCATGGGATTCTCCAGGCAAGAATACTGGGGTGGGTTGCTATGCCCTCCTCCAGGATATCTTCCGACCCAGGGATCAAACCCTTGTCTCCGGTATCTCCTGCATGGCAGGCGGGTTTTTTTTGCCATTAGCACCACCTGGGAAGCCCTGCTTCTTAGAAAAGAGAAATGCTATGCCCCCCTCAGGGTTCCCCAGGTGGCTCTAGTGGCAAAGAAACCTCCTGGGATGCAGGACACACGGGTTTGATCCCTGGGTGGGGAAGAGCCCCTGGAGGAGGAAATGGCAACCCACTCCAGTATTCTTGCCTGGAGAATCCCATGGACAGAGGAGCCTGGTGGGCTACAGTCCCTGGGGTTGCAAAGAGGCAGGTGCAACTTAGTGACTAAAATACAATACCCCACTCCCAGGGTCACCAGGAAGATTAAGGCAGACATCATATGACAAGTGAGCTCAACACTGAGGGTGTTTGTTTTGCTTGGGCTGCTGTAAGGCAGGAGCACAGACTGGGGAGCTTCAACAACACAGCTTTGCAGGCTGGTAGTCCAAGACCAAGGAGTGGGCAGGGACAGTTTCTCCTGAGACCTCTTTCCTTGGCTTGTGGATGGCCACCCGCCAGATGGAGTAAAGTTATGAAGTGAATTCAATTCTCAGAACTGTCCTCAGCATCCCTGGGTGTCACCATAGAGCAGATTTCTCTACTTGTTCCACAAAGAAGATGTGACATGCAAAAAAAAAAAAAAGAAGATGTGACATGCAGTGGAAAGCTTTGGGCAGAAGACTGTTGTGGGGGACTTCCCTGGTGGTCGAGTGGCTAAGACTCCATGCTCCCAAAGCAGGGGGCCTGGGTTTAATCCCTGGTCAGGAAGCTAGATGCCACATGCTGCAACTAAGACTGTGCATGCTGCAACTAAAGATTCCACATGCTGCTTAAGATTCTGCATGCTGAAAAGAAGATCAAAAATTCCAAGTGTTGCAGCTAAGACCTGGTGCAGCCAAATAAAGAAATAAACATTTAAAAAGAAGAAGCCTATTGGGGAAACAGACGTACATGAGGCACCTAGGGTCTACCAGGAGTTGAGGTCCGGGAAGGAGCTTCAGGTAAGTTCCTTCTTTTCCTCCCGACCTCCATGTTCATCACTGTGAAATGGGTACACTGGGCCAGTGGAATTCCCAAGGCCCTTAGCCACCTCACACAGTTAAGATTCTGGGCTGAATTTCAGTTAGCTTCTGTTTCCTAAAAGATTCCTTGTGTTTTGCATCAAAGTCCCCTGGCACCCATGGAGATGTTGTGTTTCACTGGCTGAAGGCCATGAGACCGCAGAGAAAATAGGGCGGGCACACATTTGTAGCCAAGAATGGACTTCAAAACCACCCTCCTCTGACCCCCACTCCCACCCTCCCTGCTCCATTTCCTTTCTGTGCCGTCTTGGTTTTTTACGAGCTCAGAAGGGACTGCGAACGTCCCCCACTCCCTCACCAGGAATGCCAGCTTTGTTCGGTCGAACGTCGGAATGGGCGCCTGCGGATGAGGGTGTCTTTGGCAAGACATTTAATGAGTTTTCCATCTTCAGGGTGGTAAGTGGTGGGTGCTTCCTTGATTCCACGCCTGCTGTCTCTCCCAGGCTGGGGCCATGGGCCCTGCCGCCGGGCAGTCCCGGAGAACAATCCCATTCTTTCTGGAACTGACATCAGTTCACAGGAGTCGGGAGGAAGTGGCCAAGAGCAGGGGGCCAGTGGGGGGAGAGCCTACTGGAACCGCGGAGGCACAAAAGCTGGCCTCACCATGTCAGACCCTCTAATAAGAGCCTTGTTTGTGGTCCCTCGTCTCAGGGTCAGGGAGAGCCGGGCTGAGCGGAAATCGGGCAAGAATGCAGCCTTATTGTGCATGGCCGGCCGGGAGGCTCAAGTGGGTCCCCAGTGGGGCACCCCACCACCCCAGAGGCTCTTGAAGACCACTTCAGACAGAACCCTGAGTCTCCAGGGATTAGTGAAAGGCAAGGGGTTGGGGGCTTGCACGATCCCCCCTGGGACTCCTGAGGACTTAAGGGCATGAGGTTTTGACTCAGAATCAAAAAACATCCACACTGTTCATTCTTTTTTTTTGAAAAAAATGTCCACTTTGTTTTTGGAAAACCTCCCTGCTCCTTGATTCTATCCATGAAATTTCAAAACATGAGATGCTGAGGTCAAGGATTGGACTCAGAAATAATAAATGGCTGGTGTGTGTGTGTGTGTGTGTGTGCACCGTCAGTCATGTCCGACTCTGTGCAACCGCATGGACTATAGCCCTCCAGGCTCCTCTGTCCATGGGATGCTCCAGGTAAGAATACTGGGAATGGGTTGCCATTTCCTTCTCCAGGGGGATCTTCCCAACCCAGGGATTGAACTCATGCTACCTGCATCTCCTGCCTTGGCAGGCAGATTCTTTACCCTGAGCCACCTGGGAAGCCCAAATAGCTGGTATTAGGGACCAAATACTTTTTCTGGATGAAAATGGTTTAATGTGCATTCAAGATGGGAACTTTAGATGACCTGGATCAGCATTTTGGAGGGGAGTGTGGCAACCACAATACCCACCTGCTCCAGGTCCCCTCAAGCCAGGCTCACAACATGAAGGAGGGCAGTGAGCTCCGGGCTGAGGAAGGCAATTTAGAGCAAACATTCTCAAGGAGGGTTAAGACCAGCTCTGAGTAGGGCCAAACATCTTACTCTGTGTAAGAAAGCAAGGATACACGTACAGTACATATACAGATGTGCAGTGTTTAATATTACAGTATCTGTAATATTAAAGTTTCTTTTTAATGTCACAGTATTTGTGATATTAAAGTTTCCTGGGGGGTCGGGGCCATTAGGAAAAAAAAGTCTAAAAAATTTCCTTAAGAGGTACAATACTAAACAGTTGGAAAAACACTGGCCTAGAGAATATAGATTCTTTCAGAGGATCTGCATTTAAAACCCAGCTTTTTAGCTTTCTCGCTGTGTGTCCTTGAGCCAGTTACTTAACCTCTCTGAATCCAGGATTTTCACACACCATGTCTACAGACTTGGAGTTTTAACACATCTAAAGTGGCTAGACCAGCATCTGGGATCTAGCCTTTGTCACTGTTATTATTATTATTAGGAATTCACAGAATCAGCTTTGTCAGGTTTTGTCTTCTGCATGTAGGAGTACGCCAGCTAGATCCACTCACCTAGAATCCTCAATTTCCAGACTTCAGCTAAGAAATTCAATTGTTAGCCAACTGATTGATTCAGATTTAAATGGCAAAGGAGGCTTGCTGCAGGCACTCAGCGTTAAAGAGCACAGGACTTGCCCTCAAGGGCTATAGCCTACCATTCTGAGTGATCACATTTCCTGCGTACATATTAAAAATGTGATCTTGGGACTTTCCTGGTGGTCTGGTGGTTAAGATCCCACGCTTCCATTGCCAGGGGCACAGGCTCGATCCCTGGTCAGCGAAAAAGATCCTGCCTGCCCCACGATGTGGCCAAAAACAAAACAAAACACAAATGTGGTCCTGGAGAGGTCACTCTGGGAACATGCAGTTCTGTTATCAATTTACTATCATTACTGTAATCCTTAGAAAATGGTGCCATGTTTCCAGCTCAGATTCTAGCAAACTTCTTGGGCAGCATTTTGTTGTAATGAGGAACTGACAGCACCTTCCTTTTCACTAAGAGCAGAGTATGAGCCAAGTCCTTTGGAAATTTTCCTCTAGAAACTTCACTCCCTTCCATCAGACGTGAACCTCACTTTATCAGATTAGAAAATGGGCTTGGAGAAGTCACATGACATCACCGCAATCAGAGCGAATCATGGCAAATGAGATTCAACCACTTTTATACACTCATCTAGTCACTCATTCATTCATTCGCTGGCTAGTCCACTCTCATTCACTTCCTAATTCACTCTTCATTTACTATTTTACTCACTAAGCCATTCATTCATTCACTCACTCATTTATTCACTCCTTCACTAACTCATTTGCTGACCTGCTCGTTTACTCAACCACCTAACCATTTTTGCAGATATTCATTCACTCATTCACTTACTCATTTATTGACTCACCTAACAGTCATTCACTCGTTCATTTATTCCTTCATTCACTCATTCACTCCTTCATTCATTCACTCATACACTCAGCCATTCATACAGTCCTTGTCTGATTTGTTCCTTCTACAATACTTAATACATTGCTTCTCACACTTTGTGCGTTACATGTAGTTGCTTGGCCTTGCAGCCATGAACGGTCAAGGTCACGGCTTAAATTCTAAAGGGGCCAGGGAGATTGAAAATCAAGTTAAAATGTACTTGATAAATACAGATTGTGATAAGTGCTCTGAAGGCTGAACAGACTGATGTGTGAGAGGGGCCACTAAGGCAGAGGGGGGACAAGAAGACCCTCCAGGAGATGACATTAGAGGCAAAAATCTAAAACCTGTAGACAACCAGGGTAAGTTCAGTTCGGTTCAGTTCAGTTCAGTCACCCAGTCGTGTCTGACTCTTTGTGACCCCCTGGACTGCAGCACGCCAAGCTTCCCTGTTCATCACCAACTCCCGGAGCTTACGCAAACTCATGTCCATTGAGTCGGTGATGCCATCCATCCATCTCATCCTCTGTTGTCCTCTTCTCCTCCCACCTTCAATCTTTCCCAGAATCTGGGTCTTTTCCAAATAGTCAGTTCTTCACATCTGGGGGCCAAATTATTAGAGTTTCAGCTTCAGCATCAGTCCTTCCAGTGAATATTCAGGACTGATCTCCTTTAGGATTGACTGGTTTG